TGTTGTTGACGTAAGAAGTGTGAATAAGACATCACATAATGTTTTCTTTACGTCAAATGTATCATCTGTACTGAATCGACCAATCAGGTGAATATGTACTAATGATATGATTTCAACATAACGGGTGCTTACCGGTATTTCTTTATTTGTTCGTTGATGGATGAAATGAATGATTGCTAAATTAAATGACTGATTGACTTAATTTGACAATCCTGACAATGAATGAAATTAATGAACAAATGATATTAAGTAAAATTTTTAAGTAAACGTAAAAATTCAACATGCACACTTAATAAATCTCATATGTGCGTCAATACTGGTCCGATCATGCTAAAATGATCAACCACTACAATAGCTATACATGCTTTAATATTTATTTTATTTTATATCAAATGCTCAATAAATGTGATAGTTCGTGAATCGTAATTGTTGCAAAATGATGGTGTCAATAGTAATAATTCTTATACTGCGAATCACTGACTCTTGCATCTTTTATGTCCGTATAACAATTATGATAAGCATAGAGTGAGACTAAAACAAGTGTTGGAGCACCATACTAAATATCGTATTTCGGTATAAACTGGACAAGTTACTAATAAAATCTTGCCTTTTAACTTGCCGGAACGCACTTTAAAACGGCTAATCCATCTCCTCTCGCCGATTTCATACGATTATGAATGAAAAATGTGAGAATTGCCGAAACACGGTATTATTTTTTACTTTAGCTAGGCTTTGGTGCAATACTGGAGAAAGTAAAGCGTACTCGGTATAAGGAAAATCATCAACGATGTCATTATTTTTTAGATATTGACTACGTACTGTCATGTTAAATATACATGCGTATTACATGCACAATTTTGGTTGGAATAAAATGAAATAAACGGAAAATTACATTTTACGTCCCGGCATGATCGGGCGCACATAGAAAGCAATTTATACATGCAATCTTAAAATTTGTAAGGTTTATTACACTCATTGAAATAACAAAATGTAAGGAATTAATGTGATGTTCAAAGGTCATATTGAAAGTTTAACAGATTCGAGTCTTAGTCAAAGAATAGTTCAATGTGAATTTCATAATTATATAACATAAGAGACACATAATTGTATAAATTGTGTTTGAACTTTAAAAATAGTTTAAAATACACCGCATTTACAATTCCAAAATCATTTTTATCATGATATCGAATATTTTTGTAAAAGTTAAAGCGGCCTTTAGGTTTTCTTTTCTTGGTTTGAAAAAACAATTATGTGTTGTTTCAAATCAAGTATTTCAGTAACTTTATCTTCGAAAGAGCATCAATAATCATATCCCTGTTAAGCCTTCTTCAAAACAGCGTTTCGAGAGCTATTTATAGCAGGCCAGTGACGTTCGTTTCTAAAAATAGAAGATCGTGGAACGATTCGTCCGCTTTTCTAATTTACATATAGATGTTTCAAGGGGTTTCCTGATTGTTTATTTTATCGAGGGCAAATTTCATTTTCCATCATAATTATTTTGATTTGAGAATTATATGAAACGATTTATCTAAAAATAACATATTAACATAACATAAACTTAAGAATTCTGGAGGCTCCTTTAAAGAAACATAAAACAACACAAACAAACCGATAATACTTTGGATATATTTATTGTTAAATAATATTCAGCCCAGACCATGGTATCATCGGAGCAAGCTGCGAGTTAACGGACCATACCAACACCAGTGACGTCACCCTCGCCGTATGCAAAGCAAACAACATTTTATTGGGACGAAGAAACATCAAAGTGAAATTCTACTATGACATATCGAATCCAATTCTTTTTCCAAACAACGACCTTGAAAGAATGAAAGGCTTGATTACGGTAATGTGTTATACCTTTTTAAAAACTGCAATTCTAGCTATAATCAATGCCGTTTACTTATCCAAGTCCCGAATGCGATTTTGTAAATTGAGTTAGTATAAGTCAATGTTTGTCTCGTTCTAATCATATTACAAAAAAGAAAAATGAGTTGATATTGACAATGTTACTATAACATAAATTCAACTTTGCAGATTGAAATCAAAGCAGAACAAAAGAATCCGGATGTCAACCCTTATAACAACATATTTGAAGAGGTTATCCCGGTTAGATTGAAACACGATATTGTTATACAGGAAGAGTAGGTAGCAATTAACCGCATATTATACCATACCATAATATACAATACCTATTGCACCATACCATACCATACAATACCTATTGTACCAGACCATACCATACCATACAATACCATGTCATAACATACAGTAAAAATTTTATACAATACCGTATCATACTAAACCATACCATACCATATGATACCACGTCATAACATACAATAAAATTTTATACAATACCGTACCATACCAAACCATACCATACCATACGGTATCATATCATACCCTACCAAAACATACCATACAATACCATATCATACAATACAATATTATACATTATCGTTCCTACCTACCGTACCGTACCGTACCATATCATACCCTTACCATACCATAGCAAATAATTAAATACCACCATGCCATTATATGCAATAACAACGCATGCCACACCATGCTTCACCATACAATGTTATTTTAGTCCATACAGATTCTTATAATACCATACCGAACCGAACAGTATCGCAATCCGCTCAATTCTCTGTCATTCTGTCCTACCATATAACACTGTACAATATCAAATCACTACCAATGATGCTAAACCATATCATACCATATCTTCTCATACCATACAATATAAGCTAGTATTTCATCAAAATTGTTTTTCCGTGCTATAACAAAGCAGAGGCGTACAGTTATAAACATGTGTTGATAATTAGCATTGCTAATATTAGACAATTACCAAATATTGGTAGATTATGAGAGTTGTCGTTAGCCGGTGCTAGGGGGCGTGAACGGTAGCTAGCATTTTCCACTACCGTCCATGAACATGCCCAATCAAACCATGCCTGCAACATTTTCAATTTTCTCTTCTTGTGCATTCTTTAGGGATTTTTGATTTCTCTCTATTTTACCATTCTTATTAGCAACAACGTTGACGACCAGATAGTATATGAAGATGACGTAAACAGTCAACGTGTATTGAGTATTCTTCAACGTTTCTACGTATCTAACAAAGGACCAAGCTTTCTACATTTTACATACGTCAATTTCACGGTTCCTGCTACGAAGCATGGTGTTCAAATTGCAATGATTAAGGTAACTGTGTCCTTTGATATGTTTTAAACTGTGGCTAACGCAATAATATGATGATTGAATATTACGGCTATTAGACATTTGATGTCGTTTTATCAAAGAACCTGTAACTCAATTTTATATGGTTTTATATCATAAATAAGATACTCAAGTGAAAATTTATCTATATTGTAAGTTCCAAAAAGCATTATTTGTAAAGAAATAACCAAATTTACATTTCATGTTAATAAAGGGAGGTAATTAGAAATTAATTTTCAATGAAGTCCAAGTCAGATTTTTCAAAATGAATGCATGTATCCTAAATTCTTAATGATTACGTATAATGTGGGCAAATATCTACAGTACATATTTTACATATTCTTCGATGTTGAACATTGTTTTAGAAGCATAATTATATGCATATATAAATTTCACTTAAGTATGGTAACAACCTTAATTACAACATACAGGATCTTAAAAGGTATTTAGGTATTCACTACCGTGTAATAATGCTAGCATCACGATTACACATGGTGTTAACTTATTATATTGTATCTATTTACAGAACATTTCAAATTCGTGCTCAATAAAAGAAGACGCTAACGGCATGTCTGTAATAGATAAAAATGACAAGACAGAGAGAGGTATGTATCTCATTACATTAGCTTGCTTAAATTATGATATAAATCATATAATGAGGCCACAACCACCTTGAATTCTAATTCCGCTTTCAATTCCTATGCATAACATTTTCATTCCCTGTCGCAATTTGCTTTGACAAGAAGTTATAATGCCTATTGCCTTTCCTTTATAACAAAAAACAAACAAGCAACAACAACAACAAAACGTTTGTTTTTCTACGAAGAAGAGGGAAAACAAATCAAAACAAGACAAAACATACGAGCTATATTCCTTAACAGACTGACTACATTTCTCTTAAGGAAAATAAGTACATATTCCCTTATATTTCTTAAATATACTAAACCCTACCATATTTCTTTTTTGAAGACATTGAAGTGTATAAAAAGGAAGATACTACAACCGACATTACTGAGGATTATCTGCACGAGAACTACCAAGAGATGAACACTATTGTAAGTCGTCATTTACATGTATCAAGTTACATTGAACATGCCGTAATGGAGGTTTTTTTCTCTAATTTTTGTTTTGCTTTATTTACCTTCGTTCCATTCGAATAAGAGATAATAGGTGATTTAATAAGATTTCTTTTAATCAAGGCCATTGATATTTGAAATAAAATATTTTTATATATTTATATAATTATATATGTGACTGTATAAAACGGATTTTAACAGTCTTAGAACGGCGCCTGATATAGTAGAGACCTTTGTCTTGTTTATAGTCTTGGGGCATTGATTTTAGCTAAGCCATACCTCCATTGCGTCTCATTTCCTTATTCAATTAAAATATGCAGATTTATATTTTAGTCATTGTCTTGTTTGTTATTTAAACTTGTAATTATTCTGTAACTAGTCTTGCCCATGCATTACCATGTGTTAAAGCTTGATATAAACAAACCCTTGTAATATATGGCAATAATCACAGGTATTTAATAAATTGATAACGCTTCATTTCCGATGGTTATTATTTAGTACATTACGCATGGAAAGAAAACTGTACGCTCAGCGTCTTGATTTACATTTAATATATGGTTAAATGTAAACGATGACTGCGTAATAAAACCAAGCATTTGATATTCTCGTTTAGAGCTGTCAGAATGTGAACTATGGCTGTATTGTAATCGAGTGTAAGCTGACCGATATGGAACAATACCAGCAAGAAGTTTTTGAGTTCACAGTAGATGTATTCGAAAAGGGATTGGCCAAAGAGAAGGTTACTTTACTCTAATTTTGAATTTACATTCTTTAAATTATGTCTTTATAGTATTTACGTATTAACGTTGTGGTTGAACGTCCCTTTAATGGTCTGTAAATCAAACATACACAGTAGAAACAATATGGTGAGATTCCAAATTAACTGGGTGTTTTTATTGCATTACTCGGGTACATCTTTGTAGAACAACCAACTTTCCTAAAGCTAGTATATCTTCCTGACAAACAAAAACAATCGGGGGTTGGATTTGATATGAAGGTATCGACTTCGTTAAGTTGACTTCGAATAACCCAACTAAGTATGCAAAACATGATCAGATCATGATACCAAAAACATAGAGACTTAACTAAATCAGACGATAATAAATTCTTTGTTTCTAAAGTTTATATTTCTACATGTACAAAAAAAAGAAATGGCTAAATGTTTTACAGGGATGGCAATAGATTCTCTTGAATTGCCTTCTTAAGTAATATTATTAGGGACAACAACAAAACAATATCATACTTTAACTAATTTTATTTTATAGTCATACATAGTGGCATATGTAATTTATCTCACTGAGTAATGTCTTAGTTTATCTTTGGCATTTTATGGGCACGACTCCATTAATAAAAGCCAAAAGGTTTGGATACCGGGCATACAAAACCCTGTTAGGGCATCCATAGCAAAGCAAACAAATGACACAAAATCAAAACAAGCAAATGGAACAAACTGTATAGCTTTTTGGAACAGTATGTTCTAGAAAATAATTGATCAAAGCAATACTAGTCTTTCAATTCTTCATTCACAAAATAGTCAATTTTCACAAATGTATATGAGCAACAACACAGCATTGACACTGTTGCGCGAAATTGGTTCTGGGAAGCAGAAACCAGTATCGCCAGTATCACAAAATGTCTATTCGCCGGCCGCAAAATGCAAATTTAGCAGACACAACATGTGAAATCTAGTATTTGAAAGTTCATAGAACACATCTCTGGAGTCGCACCGTTGTCGAATTCTCTCTGCTGGTGGTTTTGGCCCAAGCAGTTTTCCTAAAAGATACCTCTTCCGTGGTATTTAGTAGGGCTAGCTGTCTTGAAACACGTCGCTTATGTTGGCTAATCTGAAAACATATCAAAAGAGGACAGAAACAACAAAACAAGCATGACACTAGTATTAAATTTAAGCTCAAATCTTTGACACTTCACACTCATAATTGACGAGGAGGGCGGGTGGGTTTTTTCAACAACTCATTTCTTCCTTGTTACAATATTCGACGCCAGCGTTAAAAGGATATGACGTAGATACAGTACCTACGTCATAACCAGGGCAGGGTATAAGTTGTTCCCCAAATAACAGAGACTATTCTATAGAAATAGTCATCATTATTAGGGACAACAACAAAACAATATCATACTTTAACTAATTTTATTTTATAGTCATACATAGTGGCATATGTAATTTATCTCACTGAGTAATGTCTTAGTTTATCTTTGGCATTTTATGGGCACGACTCCATTAATAAAAGCCAAAAGGTTTGGATACCGGGCATACAAAACCCTGTTAGGGCATCCATAGCAAAGCAAACAAATGACACAAAATCAAAACAAGCAAATGGAACAAACTGTATAGCTTTTTGGAACAGTATGTTCTAGAAAATAATTGATCAAAGCAATACTAGTCTTTCAATTCTTCATTCACAAAATAGTCAATTTTCACAAATGTATATGAGCAACAACACAGCATTGACACTGTTGCGCGAAATTGGTTCTGGGAAGCAGAAACCAGTATCGCCAGTATCACAAAATGTCTATTCGCCGGCCGCCACTAGACTTCGGATGGTGAACGGGAGATTTCCCGTTTTCCAGTCGAAGGCTCCGCCAATAACATACAATATTGGCTTCGCCAATATCATACTATTATTGGCTCCGGCGAATTGAATACTTAAAAAAAAATTAGTCGTGCCCAGCCATTCTATGATTTATAATACAACACTGCCATGTAGGTAATTCATCTTAGCAAATAAAGCAGCATTCCAACAAATATGGATATACTAGCGCTCATAAATCAAATATGACACTATCTGAAACACAATAATTTGGGTAGTAACCATCAAGATCTCGAGTTCAGTGCCATTTCTCTTGACATGAATTATTCAAAAGCATTCAAACTGCTCCAAATATGTGCTAGCTAAATGTATATACATTTGACAGTGCATGTTTTCGAGATATCAATTGCAATAACGTTCAAACTGCTTCAAATATGTGCTAGATACATGTATACAATAAGTGCATTCAATCAACTGAACTATAAATTATGCATCAACACATCAACTTTTCAAATATACCTTTCCTGAACCACTCTATGTCATAGGTGTTCGGCGCGCTGATCAGCCACCCACCCCACAACCCTCCCAACCCCCCAAAACCATTTAAACTGCAGTATTTTTCATTTGAAACATGTTTTAATATTTGGTATATGCTTTTAATTCAATTACCTTCATTTCCCACAAAAAATGAAAAATTGATTTAGATATATACATATTTAGTAAAGGTATGCAACTCGCTGCACATTTTTCAGCACTCATCTTAATAATAATTGAACTCCATAACCCAAACATTTTTTCACCAATTTTCAATATTATGGTTCTGAAGGGTTGGAGGGCCGCAAAGTGGGCGAGGGTCCCCCGGGGGCAGCCACCAACCAACGCGCCGAAAACATATGCCCAATACAATAGTGACCATCAAGATCGTGAGACCTGCATGACTCTGAGAGCAGATATTTCCAATTGCATTCCATGGGTTCGAATCCTTCCAATTCAACCAACATGTTTAATAATGTTACATTAATCAGGTTTCCATTTGTTTTTAAATCGCATGATGTAAACACTTACACTCCATGCGGTAAAGAAAACTAGCAACAATTTAATGCATCATATCGTCGACAAGGCAGAACACTTGTATTACATTTTAGTATGCTTAGCACCTATTGTCATTAGAATAGCATGCAATATTAACGTGTTAGAAATTGTCCTAATTTTTTACCCCACAATTGTACATAGGTTGCCACAATTGAACATAGGTTCGAGCTATATTTTTCAATTTGCAGCATTTCACACCACCCATCCTGGTCAGTCCTGGACTGTCTTTCTTACAACTGTGTGAAGCGCTTATTTAAAATAGGTACTTATACTAATATACTTAACTGAGCTGTAAAAAGATTTGAAACAATTAATAGATTTCATGGAATATTTACTAATAAAATATCTTTATTGGCCAAAAACATACTAAATTCCCAAACTCCAAGAATAATGGTTTAAGCTTTTTGTTGGACATAAATTCTACTGCCAGTGTTATCAGCAATTACACAAAATATTCTTTCACTGGTCAGTTTGCAGCATCCAGCTATACTGTCAGTTAAAAGTTGTTTGATTCTGTATTGGTTATTAGTCAATTCAACCAATTAATAGACTTAAATAAACATTGATTATAATAATACACATGTATTTACATTTTATTTTAATTGAAAGCCACATTCATTAATCTATCTGCAATACAGAAAGCATTTGCTGATTTTCAGCCAAGACATTTTTGATTATCAAATTAAGTAGCTGCTGAAAAACAATAATAGCCTAATAATATGGTAATTTAAGTTTTGAACAAAGTGAAACCTTAGAACATTGCCAAAGTATTTGCATCATTTTATTTAAACATTGTAAAGTTAGTGTTTTTTATGTGCCTTATTATGTTTATTGTTAATAAAATAATCCAGACAGAAATCAACAAAGTTTATTACCATGAAGATAAAAAGGCAATCATTTTAAGAACAAAAATTATATAAATATCAAGAGCTTAGATGGACTCTGAAGTGCATAATAATTTATTACAAAATTATAAAAATATTTGTACATTTAATTGACACTAATAGAATGTAAACAGTATTAAACAGTATGTAATAGATATTTTTGACATAATGCATAATGCCCATCCAAGGCTTTAATTATAATGAGTGAACAGGTGAAAGTCAAATAAGTTTAAATCTTGCCGTAATTCCTTTCAATTTTTATAATGATTATGTACTTTCCATTTATGAACGATAAATCAATGCCATTGGACATTACCCAAAATGTTCAATTTATAAAAGTTTGGGACAGTCTTTTTATATTTTATGCATACTTATATTTTATCCTTAACATTTTAAAATATCAGCTGTAGGTCAATAACCTTTTTTCAGTCAATTATTTGAAACATGAAGTCAATTCAGCATAACTTGACCATGACAAAATAGGCACAATGTCATTTTAATATCATAACCATGTTATTTTGAAATTTAATAGGGTGTACTTTTCACAATAAAATATTGTTTCATCACGGAAATTAAAGTAAGACGATTTATATTAACTTTTTAAATATCAAACCTCACATTCTCTATTAGTTTACATAAAAATTGGTCTTGCAATTCAACCAAAGTTGAGTATTATACTAAAGCCAAGAGAAAATTGTCTTGAATGATTTTCCTTTGAACAAGATTCAACAAAGAAAAGTTAAAGTTGAATGCATGATTTTGTGTAAATATTATCAACAGTGTTTAACACTAAAATTTAAGAAGCGTGTTCACTTTTATCACTAGCTTAGGGGAATGAGTACCTATCATATAGCATGAGATTATAAGAAATCCTAAAGAAATGGAAAACGTTTAACCTCTAAATTTAAAACTTCTACCCTCTAAATAAAAGTTTTAAGTTTAATTATGAGTAGATCTAGTGTCAAACTATAAGAAAAAATAAAAAGTAAATGATATACTTTCAAATTTAAAGTTTTATATTTGGATGGTGTTCACTATGACTAAATCATCAAAAGAGGTTCACAATCATTTAATAAATTAGCTATCCATTTATTATATTAAAATATTTATCTTTTTATGTTGTGTAAAGTAAATAAAAGGTGCAATGGAAAATAAATTTTACAATGAAAAGTGAACTACAACTTGTCAACTCAAAATTGCAATAAATTGTGTGACAAATATAATTTGTTATAAATCTGTACTGTAATGTAGCCTACACCATGAATTATAAACAACATAGTCTATTTAAAATTATTATTATTATTAATTTATTATTATTAATAATTTATTATTATTATTATTATAATTATGAATTCATGATTGTCTTATTATTATCATTAGATCACATCATCATCATCATTATTATTATTATTACTATTATCAATTCATTATTACTTATTTATTATTATTATTATCATCATCATTAATAATTTATTATTATTAATATTATCAATTCATTATTATTACTATTAATTTATTGTTATTATTTTATTTTTATATAATGTTTATTAATTTACTATAATTATTATTATCTAATATCTTACTCATGTGACTGATGTTGCATTGAAGTCTGCATCTTTTAATTATTTGTGCATTATTAATTTATCAATTTCTATTTAATGTGATTTTAACCCCTTCTTATCCAACATAATTTGCTTATTATGCATACTTAATTTTACCATGAAAACAATAGGCCCTAAAATAAGGCAATGTATTCACATCTATGATAACAAATACTGAAATATAACTGAATAATTAATTTGTTCAACTTGTAGATCTAAACCTAGGTTTCACATTGTAAAATAATGTATAAAATAAACATTTAAACAGGAAATACCTCACCTAATACTGTAAGGAACTAAACTACTAGCTCTACTAACATCAGTCACCAATTTATCTCATACAACAAATGTCAGGAGTCATCACAAGACGCTGCTGATCACCATCACATTTATTTCCACATTTCCCATACAGACCAGTAGTGTATTGTCTTTAATCACATTCTTCCAATCTCGTCTTCTCTGTCCATATAATATCCTGCTAGATTCAGTGTTCCATGTTCCCACCAAAGACATCAAGAACAAATCCGCTTCAATCGTGGAAAATATCAACAAAATTGCTGCTTATAGGGCACACAGAAAATCACCGACGTCTTATCGATTCATATCTAGAAGATATTACTATCGATTGCTGTTTTGATCAGCGATTTTTTCCATTTTTTTCAACAACTCATTTCTTCCTTGTTACAATATTCGACGCCAGCGTTAAAAGGATATGACGTAGATACAGTACCTACGTCATAACCAGGGCAGGGTATAAGTTGTTCCCCAAATAACAGAGACTATTCTATAGAAATAGTCATCATTATGAATTGTGTTTATCGGGTCATTTTGTATCTTATTCACAGAACGCACAGGGTGTCAGATTTGCCACTTTTGCCAATGTCAGTGACCCTAATATTTGGTACGGGCTGAAATCTGTTGCATGGACCGAACCAGTTTTTGCTCGGGTAAGATATTCTTAACGTGTATTTTCAAGATAAATGATAATTGTTGTATTAGTCCGCTTTCCAAAAAGTATGTGTCATATTTTTTCATTGATTGCAAATTGTACAGCAAAAATTAACTATGCACATTTCTCATTTCAAATTTAGACAGGTTGTATCATACATGTACCTAGTAAAATATACTTTATTCTTACTTTTGCTTCGCGTGTCTGGGTTAAGCAACCATTTCAAAACCTGTTCAATGTCTTCAGTGTTACAATCATATTTATTTCATTATAATTACAACCGTGGATTAAATGTATAGCACATAAAGTTGTTTGTTTGCGGTGTTTTCTTCAAAATTTATATTTTTTTCCTTTTTTTTTCAGAAATGGGCTACATTTTTTCTTAAACATGGTACTGCACCAGGGAAGGTAAATATGTGGATAATCATTTCAAGTGCAGCTGGAGGTTTAGTCCTATTGACTTTACTGATCATAATACTGTGGAAAGTGAGTTTCTAATTTATTGATGTCTGTAATAAAACCATAAAATTCTTAACTAAATATTGATTACAATTCAATGGAAGATATTTCTAAAATTGATTTACGATAATAATTTGATTTATTTTCTTTCTATCTATATATATAGATATATCGCCTTTTTCTACATTAGATGATAAAACTTCACTGAAATAGACAACACCAGTTTATGTAACAATATCCAATTCCGGCTTTAGCACGGTAAAATTTATCCCGCGGAATGAAACCACATACAATCATAACAATTTCTAAGATATCTTGCAAAATTACTTCTCAAATATTCGTAAATGACGTAATATGATTAACATAAATATATAATTATATAAATTAACATTTACAATAACATGTTTGCAGTGCAAATTTTTCGAACGGAAGAAACGCTATCAGATACTTGATTGGAAAGAAAGTAGAAGAAATGATACGGCTGTTGGCGATATTGTGCCAGAACAATCTAATGAAGCTACGAATCAGTTCTAAACCAACACTAATAATAACGTCATCTCAGACAGTTGCTTTGTTGTAATCGTCTTACAGTGAACTCTCATAAATGGATTTAACTCATTACATGATTGGAGCAGTACCTCTAGACCCTTGCAGAAATCATGATCACAACAAAGACTAATATCGTTTTTTGTCGCCGATTATTACATTTTTCATTTATTGTCATACAAAAGATGAATGAGACTTTTTCAAGTTCATTCCGTTGGGTAAAAAGGCAAGATTTTAGCATTTTATTATTCAAGCGCCTTGTCTGGTTTATACCGGAATACGGTATTTAGTGTTGTGCTTAGTCTCAGTTGTCGGGGATAATACTATGTTATATAGTATGCTGACAATGGAATTCACCTTAAATTTAAAAGGAAAGTGTTGACAATACATTCATAATTGATAAAGCTTAATTCTGAACATGTATCTTCTATCTACTAAAGAACGAGCGATATTAACCCATTTATCAATGAATCATTTTGAAGGATCAAATATATAAAGTATATGTGAAGTGTTAACTTTAATATTGGCTGGTATAAACATTTCATATCCAGCGTGGATAACTACAGACTATGAACCATGTATACTAGATCAACGTACACTATATCTATGTAATTTCACCTTACCATGTGTTTTCTTCATTGTACATTTATGTCTATTCAAAATAACGAATCGCCATTCGCATTTAATATACGATACATCCCTATTGATTCTTCTATGTCAGCCACAAAAACATGTAAACTATAAGAATTATGCTCAAAATGGAACTGTTCTATATGTTTATATACTTTTAATACAACTAAGTATCATTTGCTGAAGACAAAGATTCACCGACTGAGAATAATTTAGGTTTAATTTGTATGCTTCAGTGGACAGTAAAATGTTATAGGTAGTCAATGACATTAACACCGCTGATATCTACCAACATCCCAACTATTACTTCGTCAGATGAACATTTCACATAGTAACATAAGGTGATGCGTGCGTTTGACTCATTTATAACGTGTGTTATTTTAATTGTGCCTACATAACTCTGAGTTTGACTAAAGTTTTGATCTTGAAATTTATCTTGTAAAATTTCAAATAATGCCTTGTCAAACTCGGCATCTTGCTTTTAAAAATCGCGATCTTGTGAACATTCTTCTGTTTGCTTGTGAACATTTGCGAAAATGCCTGTGAATATTTGTTTCTTTGCCTGCCAAAACTCTGTTTGTTGAGAATGGGTGTCACATGACCGCTGCCCTCTTAATAATAGGCAATCTAGGAGGGACTGAATTTGTATTATAACACAGAAACTTACCTTATGTGATTTAAAATTATTTCAATTAATTATGACATTTTCAAACCTTTTCAATACTCTTTATCCTTATGTTAATAAAATCCTAACATGATATGCTTCAAATAGGAAATACACATTCTGATTTAAACAAACATACAATATGTTTAAGCGGCTTCATATACTTGTCAAATCAAAAGCATGAGTGATGGAAATGAAATTTGCCGATTAAAAAATACATAAACAATAAGGAAAGACGTCTTTACCTCTTATCTTCCGGTCTGCTGTCTATATTTAAATAAGTAAAGCGGACGACTCGTCTCTCGATGTTCTATAGTCACCGACGCGTGGGAGGGCTTACAGTGATATGATACACTTTTTCATGAAACAATACAGAATTGTTTTCAAAGCTGAAGGCCGATTTAAACTCTTCATGATAATGTTTATGTTAAATTAACATGATAATATTTACTATAAACATTATCACGTTAATGTTTATGATAAAAGATATGAGTACGATAAAACGTCATTTTAATGTGAATGTTTTTATTTTATCGACAAACTAATCGTGGCAATAGTGTATTTATTATATCACGCCTGGCAAACTGTCGCTCCACTTCAAAATTGTGGTGTACGTTAAAACGAGCGAACGGCATTTCCGAGATGGAGCGGAAGGCCGATTTAAACGGATAATTGTAAGTGTTGTTTATGCTTTTGTATTGTTATTCATTTAAGTTGTATTTTTTCGAAAAACAGAAAATGTGGTTCCGTGTAGGATTGATCTAGGCTTCCAATGATATAAGCTGTTACAAAAAGAAAATGATATCAAGCCTAAGAGAACTTTTCCCATGGACGAAGTGAACGACTATTTGTTAAATATCAAACTTCCAACCCTGAAAAATGCGCTACACTTAGGATTTTTTGAAATGTGTTTTGAAAAAATATCAACCCGTAACAAGAGCTACTATTTCGTGCAAAATAAACTACTCTTGGTGGATTTCTTAAATTTGTACATTGATTTTTTCGAAAGTAGTGGAGCCAAAGGGCAAGAGATGGAGCGAAAGGTCGGTTGTTGGGCGCAAGGCGACATTAAGTTGGTGTAAAAAGCATAGTCTACACATTTCTATAAATAAAATCTTTTCAAGTTAAAATAGACGTACTAAAATGTGAAGCCGGAGAAATATGATAAGATCTTAATTTATTTCTACTATAACTAGGTCTATCAATTATTAATAATTTTAAACCGCACACCAATTGAGCACTGCCTTTTTTATTACGTTCATTTTGTTCATAGATACTCTGAATAAACGAACAAAATTGAACAGATATTTCTTTTAACTTATTTTTTTTTCATGAACCAAGATTTGTACTGACAATATGCAGTTTTTGATTATAAAAGTGAACATTTCCATTTATACTTTGAGAGGAAAATGGTAAACTAAACAACAATGCTAAATAAGAAAGAAAATATCTTGAAACATAACTGAAACACTTATATAACCCCCTTCCCCGGGTCTCGTATCCCCTTCCCCTATGCCCCTTTACTTTGTGAGCCTGTTAAGCAGTCATTTATTTTTCTTCTTTGTTTTCCTTGTTGGTTTTGATGATTTCTTTTTATGTGTTATTTTATAATAAGTGATTGACCTGTCCGTGCTCCGCATTGCGCTCTGTCCTGTTTTTGTTTGAGGGCCTCCTGGGCTCCTTGCCACCGGTTAAAGTATTTTTCGCTGGGTCGCGTGGAGGTGGCGTTCATTGAAAGCCGCCTTATCATGTTAATCTTGTTTATCATATTTCATATCCTTAAAACGACTGACACTTTGTCAACCATTTTCATAGAGATTCCCCACCTTAGAAAAAGTATTTCTTTTTCATGAATTCTTATTTGTGTTTGATCTGAACATGTACGTTAGAGCTATTAATTAGAGAAAGTTGTAGTAAATGAACTCGGTAGTAATGATCCATTTTATGTGTCCCGTGTATTGCATAATTTTGTCTATTTTCTGCACCTTAAATATCTAACTTTTTGAAAAACATAACATTTGGCGGGAACAATCGTGTTGCATGTACCTGCTCGGAAACATTTGTTCACGGTAGAACTGAAAATGTTCTATTTTGTCGAATTTGCACGGATACACGTTTTTAAATGTGCATAACCGTGTCAAAAATCATGATTGACCTCGAATAAGTAGCACCTTGTTTTACGCCATGATTCAATGATCGGGCCTCATCTAAATTAGGAACATAAATAATGGAATCTATACGGCAGCCATAGGTAACACCTTCGCTATCACATGTATTACGCTATAGTCGTTGAAAGGATGTTGTCTTTAAAAGGTATATATATCAGTCTCAACACTTGATATTGTCTATTTTAACTTCTATAGCTTTTATATATAAAAAATTCATAGACTACGCTCCTCCTAATATGCCAAATTAATATCGCATTGCGCTCAACATCGAACCTTTCGCTCCATCTCTTGCCCTTTGGCTCCACTACTTTCGAAAAATATCGTTTTACAAATTTAAGAAATCCTTCAGGAGTAATTTATGTTGCACGAAGGACAAGTTCTTATTACGGGTTGATATTTTCCTAATACATTTTTTGAAGAAATCCGAAGGGTATGGCATTTCTATGGTTGGGAAGTTTAATATTCTATAAATCGTCGTTCACTTCGTCAGGGAGAAAAGTTCTCCCGGGCTTAATATAATTTTGTTTTTGTAACAGCTTAGATCATTGAAAGCCAAAAACAATCCTACACGGAACCACATTTTCCGTTTTTCGAAAAAATACAACTTAAATGAATAACAAGACAAAAGCATAAACAACACTTACAATTATCCGTTTAAATCGACCTTCCGCTCTATCTCGGAAATGCCGTTCGCTCGTTTTAACGTACACCACAATTTTGAAGTGGAGCGACAGTTTGCCGGGCGTGTATATATTTCATCATTTTAATTGAGTGTGTCCGTGTGTGTGTGCGTGTGTGTTACTATTATCATTAAAATGTGTACGTTAAATTCATCATGAAAATGTGTATGCTGCATACATTGTGAAAAATGTATATGTTAAATTCAATTTGATATTGTGTATATTACACTCATCATGTTAAGAGTATGTTCATATTTATTCATCTTAAACTTACACGTGTTAGATTCAATGTGTCGATGTGTATATTTTCTTCAGAATGTTATTGTGTCTGCCTAATTTATAACTAAAATAGTATGAAAAATACATCATGAAAATGTGTATGCTGCATATATTATGAAAAATGTATATGTTAATTCAATTTAATATTGTGTATATTACACTCATCATGTTAATATTATGTTAAATTCATCATGATACTTACACGTGTTAGATTCAATATGTCGATGTGTATATTTTCTTCAAGATGTTAATGTGTCTGCCTAATTTATAACTACATAGTATGATAAATAATAAATTAAGTTTGATACTGTGTATATTACATGTACAATCATGTTAAATTCACCATGATACTTACACGTGATTGCACGCCTTCAGATTCATGTTAATTTTCATGAAAATTTTGGAAATGTATTTGAAAGTAAAATATTGTGAGGTGAACAAATTAAGTTATTCACATATTGCAATCGGCCTTTAGAATCCAATAAAATTACCAAAATGTTGTCAACATAATTACGGCCCTTACTGCGTTAGTAACGCAGTAGAAATATGGTGCTAAAATACTGCAAAATCAGTCTTAAACCGCATTTAAAATGTAAAAATATAATTTGGATCTTGAATGTTTTACTTTTCTTAAAATTTTAGTACATTTTCTCAATACTGATTTTCTTGAAATATTTTGGCTCATCTGGATGCTTGCAGCTTTAAATTTTATGTCGATGTGTATATTTCCTTTAGAATGTTTATGTGTCAGCTTAATGTATAACCAGTATGATAAATACATCATGAAAATGTGTATAGATAATGAGTCATGTTAACGTTTGTTTTTTTTTAATTTATCACCATCTTGATGCGTAATGTTTAATTCGCTATGTAACGTGCATTTTATGTTTATCACATTAATGAGTATGTTAACTTCATCATGCTAATTATGTTTTTAAATTGGCCATGAATTATAAAATACTATGTTCATTTCCTACTAATAAGATGATTTAAATTTTAACAAACAAAATAACGCGTAGGTTTAAGATAAGATGATTTTATACATCATGTATATAGCCGTTTGGTTTTTTTAATAGGTGCTTGAAACAGTTGAAGAAACAATTGAGAAACAAATGGGACAGAATTAAAGTTCAAACGATTATGAAACTTTGCAGAAATTATCTTAAATAGGCTAGTTTAACTTTTTAATCTGGAAAAAATCATCATTCTAGGGAACTTTCAAAATAAGTTATGGGGTAGCGAACAGTGCATACAATAATCAGTCGTTGATCTTGGTCAGCGCTGGTCACATGGGTAGATTATTAGTCTAGGGGATAAATCTAAAGATAACATGCTGCTTGAGTATGAATGCTCCTTTTATAAGGAGTTCATTAAATAAATTAGATTATTACAATTACGTTATAGGGCCAAAATTGCTAGTAATTTATGTATCAAAAAAGCCGCACGCCCTAAGATTCATGAACAATATCTACAATCCAAACGCCGTTCACACATTAAGTGCAGTTCGATTTTATGAAGTAGTCTTATATCCCTTTAAAACAGTTGAGACGGGAAACCAGGACTTTTACCAGAAGGATGTTAATAAAACATTGAAAAGAATTAACGCATATTCTATAGGGTTTGTCATATTTCAGGATGGGGGTGGGGGTACAAGTATTTTTTTCACTAAAAACGGAGTTTCATTTATGTATATTTATTCTTATACACATTAGACAAATCCATGAGGGTCATGACCACAAATCCCCCTTTCCCCCTCGCTTTGATCCGAGCACACATGTTGTCTGTCTGACGTAACAATTCACTTCAATTCACATGCCCCTCGTCACTGTCATAAATATCCCGACAGAGGCTTTGAATTCTTTTATCCCAGTTAGGTTACGGAATGTTGGTGGGTTGCTAAGGTTCCCGCTCTTTCCTTAAATACTGCACGGAGGGGCACCCGAGGTGTTCCCATACTTGTGAATCTGGAAAGTCGATATATGACTATAGCAGTGACTGTGAATCACTCGCTCACCGGACATAAATCGCGCCATACTACTGAAGTATCGTTGGGATGCATCTCGTATCAAGTGCTATAAAACAGTGGCATATATATGTCTTTACAACCTCATAATGCTGACAAAATAGACTTATGTTAACAAGTAAAAAAACAAGTATGTTTTCACGTACATGTATCTGGCGTTTATTTTATATTAATTAATTGGTATGTTTTCCTATTTACTGCAATTCTAAATAATTTCAGGGTTTCTGACTCACTTTGTTTCGTGTGTTTTACATTCCTTATTCTTCTGATTAATTTCAGGGATGTATCTATTACATAGGGATAAATCCCTTATAATTTGTATAATATATACGCCAATCATGTTATCATTTTAATCCGCGCTTGGTGGAAAAAATGGACTGCACATGCACAAAAGCAGTATTCAAAATAGTGCCACCACTTCGATATAGCGTTTTAAATAATAACCGTTTAAGTTATGGCGTTGTTATATCATTTAAAAACTCCAACGAATACAAACTATGACCGATTTTTCAATATAATACCATAAACAAAATCAAGTTTCTGAAAGAGCTAGTATTTCAAGGTTAATTTTAACATCGCTTTCCATTTTACGAATTGAAGTATAGAGTCAAGAGTTAAGCACACAGCAAGCATGTTCTGTAAACTGGTTTGCTACTAAGATAGACAATATGAGAAAACGGTTACGTAATTCAAAAATAAATGTTTAAAGGCCCATTATGCCTAAGAATGGTTATCATTTTTATTTCTCAAAAACATTTTATTATTTGGTATCATAAAATACTTATTTGCCATATATGAACTATCATTTAATTTCTTTTGCACTGTTGGCAATTAGTATAATTATATTGAGTGGAAGTCAAGATACTAGATCTATGTTTACATTTTTCCTACCTTTACGACATATTACTGCATATTCAGCGCTACTTTCGTTAGTTGTAAAACATCTTAGATTACTAAAACATTATAAAACATGTGTTAATGTAAAATATAGATTTCCGATGCATAATAGGCCTTTAAATACAAAGCATTTATAATATTAACAAGAGTTAACAAATTTGTAAAGTATGTTTATTGACATTAACAACAAACTAATATTAACAATATAAGATTGATAGTAAAATTTAGATAAAATGATTGCCCAAATACTGGATATACGATATGTGGATTATTTGATACTTTGATTAGTTTATATGAAAATAAGTTATATTATAAACATAACTTAACATTATTGAAACGGATTTAATTTAGTTACTAACAATAAGAAATGAATATAAACAATCTACATTAAGATAGTTAAATAGAAATAACAATTTTGACACGCGCACCGTGCCATTAATTTCACTCATTGAGTATATTTGACTTTAATATAAAGGTTATATCTACTTCACGTTGCCTATTTTAAAAAAAAAAGACAAAACTGAATTTTTGAAAAAAAAGTTACTGAGAGAAAGAAAACCTGAACAAACGTTTGATTTTATTTTTACCCCACACAGATCGCAAAATGGCACGTGGTACAAACACCGTGTACTTAAAGTGTAATTTTAAGTACAGTGTAAAAGTATGCATTAAAGTTTCAATTTGCAGTTACCATAGTGACGCTAATGTAAATGTCAGATTCATTAAAACTCTACAATATGCATTAGGAAATGAGCCGCGTCACGACAAAACCAACATAATGGGTTTGCGACCAGCATGGATCCAGATCAGCCTGCGCATCCGCGCAGTCTGATCGGGATCCATACTGTTCGCTATCAGTTTCTCTACTTGTAATAGGGTTTGTAAGCGAACAGCATGGATCCTGATCAGACTGCGCGGATGCGCAGGCTGGTCTGGATCCATGCTGGTCGCAAACCCATTAAGTTGGTTTTGTCATGACGCGGCTCAAATAATGAGTGGTGATAACAGTTTTGATTTTATTATTACTACTTCATGTTACTAAAAAAACAGGAAAATAATTATGCATGCGACATGAACAAACAAGCATAATATAACACGATTTATATATGATGTGATGGTCAGAGAATAATACATTTCCTCCTTCCTTTATCCAGAATGAGTGCTTAAAGTGATTATGCATTAACCAATATACATGTATATCGTGCGTTTTTTAGGGGAAAACCAAAAACGGGTAAAGCAAATTTGCTTTGAAAAAAGGGTCAATATACACAGTAAAATAACAGTTAAACTACTTTTTTTCGTTTTTTTTTTCTTCATTTATTTGTTTATTTAATCGTGTTTGTGAAACATGAGAAGTAACGCTCAAGTAGAACTACACTTTAGCATTGTTTAGGCGAAGGACTACTATTACAAAGTACGCATTTGACTGGTCAAAATGACTCAATATGAAAATACAAGCGGATCGGAAGTAAAGATAAACTGAATAGTGAAGCTTGTTTAAGATATGTAAAAAACGGAAATAAGGTCTCCTTAAAGGATGTTGAACGGAAATAGGTTTAAACCTAATATCAAGTAAAGTTAATCATTTTACTAGTATAACTATGTAGTGCGAGCATACATACATTGTACATGTTTTGAGCAACTTATAAGTAGATTTCTGATAACAAAAACGGTGCATATATGGGTGTTAAACGGATATAACACGAAATTTATGGATTTTATTACAATTAAACACTGAATACTTTGGATAATCCTTACTTATGATATTATTATTTTTCTAATAAAAATGGTAAAGTTTCGTTGACAATATAAAAATATTCTTCTGGACTGTACATTTATATAAACTAAGAAATAATAAATAAATAGTAGTTCTTGAATTAAAAAAAAAAAGGAAAATATTTGTGTTTAAAATGGCTCGTGACACATGTTATGACAACGTGCTTAATGTGCTTAAGTACGGTTGCCTTGTGCTCTTTGCTATACAAGTTGGGGTTGTTTTGAGTTATAACATTGAAGCTAATCCGAAAAAAGTCGGAAAAGCTGAAGGTGAAAAGGATTCCCAATTTGGATACACCGTTGCAATTATTCGTAAACCGGGTTGGACCACTGGAGATAAAAGCTTTCATGATAAAGAGTAAGTATTGTCATCTTATTTAACACCGTGTATAGCCATTAACGCAGGAATGTGCAAATAACGCAGGAATTGTGCAAAAGTAACGCAGAATCGTGCAATTTAGTGGCTAAAACGAGCACCGCGATAAGTAAATGGACCTATATTTTTTATTGTACACTAAATTGGAAGAAATGAGTTAGCGCATACGGTTGCTGAGACATTATACTTTCAACATTATCAAAAATATTTTCATGATAATGTTTATTTTTCAAGATGATTGAATTTCGTGAAAATGACGACCTGACTAGCGTATTGAGGCGACTTTCAGTTTCGTTGGTATCTTTAAATACAATATCGTACATATAACTTTATGATTTTTTTTATTTTCGGTGTACCTGAGACATTTTCCAATCTACTCGTGCCATATTACATTAAATGTAGCAAATAAAACGCAATTGAGTGCACTTTTACGAGGTAGCGCCGAATTCGTGAATGAAGCACTAAAGCAACGGTGGTTATCTGATTTAAATTAGCTACTTCATATCTTACCAGCTTCCTTCTATTGTTATACGATACGAAAAATGTCTGGGGTATACAGAATATGAAAAAATAAGGTTTAAATGTGTTAAATGTACATATTTATTTGACGAAACACAAAAGACACCTTCAAAACGGTAATCAGGTTGTCTTTCTCACGAATTATCTAAGAAAGTAAACAAATTCCTGAAAAAAATGTAATGCTGGTTAAAGTATAATGTAGTAGTAGCCGTATGCGCTAATTTATTTCTTTAAATTTGATTTAGTATAAAATATTTTGGTTCGTTTACTTACAGTGTTATGCGTTGCACAGATCCGGCGTTACTTTTCCGATAATTGCAAATTCTTGCGTTACTAGTGAGCGCCTCTTTTGTTAAAGTTAATTAGCATAATTATACTAAAGAAATATTAAATCATGATACAAGTATTACAAATAGCCCTACGCATGCATTGATATACCATAACCAGTACAGAACGTCTTAATTAAGCATTAACAGTCGTTGTTGTTTTTTTGTGTTTTTTTTTATCAGAAAATTTATAAAGTCATATTTTGAAAAGCAGTTATTAACGCCCCCCCCCCCCCCACCAAAAAAAACAACAACAAGAAAAATCACAAAAAATAACAAAAAATAAACAACAAAAATTATGAAAGAATTATAATTTGTAACCTTCACGAATATCGGGTGATGTCTGCAAAATATCATCACTCGACATTACAACCCTACTTAAAATAGCAGCGTACTATTTGGTTCCGGGAAAAAAACTACGTAAAATATTCATGTCGATTATGTTATTTATCTCATATCCACCATATGACTACAGGAACAAGGCAATTTTACCGTTTATAAATAGTATACAATGTATTATATTTCATAACATATTGCATGTGTAACAATAAGTAATAGTTACAGTATATGAAGAAACGAGTTAGTTACGAGGAAGTCTAGAATTGTAACACATACTTTACCAACTCATTTTTCTTATTATTAACAGAAATAAAAACAAATAAGTTGATGAAAACTACAAAAAGGTTTTTTCAAGATTCGAACCTTCGACTTTATGGTCACAAATCCGCCTTATGTACAACTTGGTCATAAGACAGAATTTATTGGTATAAATATCGAGATCTATAGTGTCTTTAAACTCTTAAAAAATGGTCAAATACAGAAAAGGCCGGGTGGCATTTGTGGCTGTAATGTTACGAAAAACATTTACCACTTAGCATTTATGTCGAAAATCTAACTCAGTCGGTAAACAGGAAGTGAGAGACAGACCTGCAATCGAATCCCACAGTGTGTGACCACGTATCAATGCTGTATGCCAAATTTCAAAGACTGTGATAAGTAGTTGCTGAGAAAATTGTTACGAAAATTTCCTACCATTGACCATTAATGTTGAAAATTTTAGCTAAGTCGGTAAACAGGAAGTGGATGAGCGACAGACGTGAAATCGAATCCCACAGTGTGTGACCACGTGTCAATGCTGTATGCCAAATATCAATTTTAAGACTGTGATAAGTAGTTGCTGAGAAAACTGTTACAAAAAAATTTCCCGCCCGCCCGCCTGACGTTCACCATACTATATCCCTGGTTTGCAACTGTGCAACCCGACAAAAAAAAACATAAAAAACAAGGAAACAAACAAAAGAAAAACTCCTTAAAATTAATGAGTCTCAGGTCAATATTGCACCACAATACACAATCCTTTATTTTTTTCGCGAAAAAGTATTTCTGCAACCGCATCTTTCCCCGAAACGAATTAAGTCACGTGATTCTCTGTGATAAGTATGTATTATGTAGGTTGGCATTTTTCTGATTTTTATCCCAATCAATGATGCTGTGGTGTCATAAAAGAATGGTTTATTGATTGTTCAAAACTTGTAATGACCACGACATCAAGCTGTTTTTAGTTTAGTTATTAAACTTGATTCACAGAAAAACCATAACCATTACAAGCTGGAAATCAAGAGGAATTACAGCGCAACATCGCTTAGAAAGTGTTGGTTTTTCTTAAAGAGTTTAATGGGATATTCATATCATCGTCAATATAATGTGTTTTAAAGTCCATAATCTTGTCAAATTTATCTGCTTTAAATCGTTCATATAAAATCCTACTGCAAAAACATAATAGTATGATTAATTGAAACGTGGAAATACATGTATCTAATTAATTGTGTGCCTTGTAAAGAATGGTATCTAAATATTACATTACAAAGCAGATAAACGACAAATCTCAAGCATTTAGTCCAAGCAAAATAAAAAGCATACATGTATAAGTGCATGTATAAGAACGTTTAATATTTTTTCAAGTGTTATTTTTATAAAAAAAATACTTTCCTTTCTTGCGGCCAAAGTAGTGCCGTTTGACAACGGCCACACATGATCTATTTACAGACATGTACTAATCTTCTTTTCCACATAATTATTTTAGTTTCTGAATAATTAGCTAGAATGACTAAAATGCTTTTTCAATGCTTAAAATGATTAAAAAATTGACCTAGTAATACTGTTTGCACACACCACATGTCATGTAATTGAAAGTTTGCATTTATTTCGTAAATCTCATATTTTTGTCTATGTACATGTATGCATTTGAGTTACAAAAAAAATGTACTGTTCTGTTCTCTTTTTTCTCCAGACTTTTGGTAGGGGCGCCAAATTTAACCTACAAAAAAATCATCGGCCATGGTCAGGCAACTCGATGTATGACACCGACAAGTGAGAATATCACCTGCACTTCCCTTGACCTCGAGGATCCTTCAAACTTGTGTGGTAAGTGGTAGGCTTTTCATGTTCTCAGGTATACATGTTTGATAAAGATAAGATAAGATAGTCAAGTTCGAATCTTTTTTCTTATTAAGAATGACACCGATGCCATTCCATCAGTAACATTATTTCGTTATGATATAGCTACTTGTCAAGCATTCTAATAATAATAATAATAATAATAATAATAGTAATAATAATATCTTTATTTAAAGAAGGTTACACATTTAGAACATACAATAGCAATCATATATATCTTATTTCCAATGTGGCCTTCTGAAATAGAAAACAACAACAACAGGACATGCATAGGTAGAAAAATGAATGTATAATATGTAGTTTTTAGCAAAAGACAACTCATATACTTGCGAAAGGCACTCAATAATTTGTTTAAACATATACGTATATTGCATCATTCGTTCGTTCGTTCATTCGTTTGTTCATTTATTCATTCATTCATTCCTTCATTCATTCACTCATGAAAGTACCATCCAAGTTAGACAAATATAAGTAATATTTATATGCTAATGTCTTGCCATCGCCAAAGATGATAGATATTTTGACATATCTGACAAAATGACATTAATGTCCACTTATTGTGAGGTAGTTGTGTAAAAGAAAATACAACTGGCCCTCCACGTTAGGTATTTACGTCTACATATAAAATAACTAATTAATGCCTTTTTAAAAGTGGAAAGCCGTTAATATATTTTTGCTAAATATATAAAATTGAAAAAAAGAAATATAATAGCCGACAAAGTTGCATCATATCAATGAAACAATCATAATGGACTCACACTAACAAATGCGAGTTTTAAATTTAAGAAATAGCTATAACAAAAACGGTTTGTTATCTCAGAATGTTACAATCATACTGTTTTTTGGTTATCTGACACAAAGAAAATATTGTTATTTGAAAATGTATACATTATGTATACACAAGTATTTTTGTTAGTATTAGATAGTTCTATGTAATTAATGTATAATAAGTATTGACACTTCCTATCATCTATCTATACTCGAGATCCTGAAAATATGTAACTAGAAAGGACGTCTTCAATAGATGGATACTTCAAGGAAGAATAAAACTAGCTTATAGTATTATAAACATTATCCAATAAATTTAAAATGCAGGCAGTCATTTTCTCCGCTAAGCAAGCGATTATCAATCTCGCTTTGGCATCTTCAGATGAATTTTTTGCTTAAAAGTCATTTTACAACACTTTTTCACCACCATACATTTATGATAATTATGTTTTACCGACATAGAATAAAAAACAAACATATTTTCTTTACTCAACTATAGCTAGACACTATGTAAATGTTGAACGATGGTGATATTCACGAAGATTTTGGGACTTTCTACAAAAATATGGCAGATATATATAGCTAAAGTTGCATAGGGCAATGTCAAATTGAATCTTGAACGGCACTAAAATTGGCATACATAATTAAGTACATTATAAATATGCGGAAGAAAAGTAGAATTACTAAATAATATTCATCATCAAGAACCTGGTATTATTGTCAAGTATATCTGGTCATATACAGTGTTATTATGAACTTAATATAAAAAATAATGTCACTGTTTATGAAAAGAAAACCAACCTAATGAAAAACAACAACTGGTACAAAGATTTTGATCTAAAAATAGATTTTGATCTAAAAAAAAAATAGATTTTGATCTAAAAATAGATTTTGATCTAAAAATAGATTTTGATTAATCAATATCGTCTCTAAAGACCATTGTATAGACAAGAAATAGCCTGAATCACACTTAATTCTCATAAAATGAATCATTAAACAACAACGGTCATAAAAAGAGAACATTAAGATCATCACTGAGTAAAGCCATCCGGTCAGCTCAGATACAGTGTTTGACAGCGACTCGGGCGACCCAGACTCGATCCCCGGACGATGCAGGTCACTTGTCATTGATCTTAAAATCGTTTCTAAGGTCATTCGCACAATACCTCTGCTCTGTTATGTACAGAAGTTTCAGCTCTTGCTAAAGTTGAGGCAACAAGTAGTTAGTAACCTACTTGACAGCATTACCAGGAACAATGCTGTGCCAGAACTGTGCTATGGTAAATTCAATGCGATTAGGAGTGAAAACTACCAACACAATAACCACTTTGAGAAGTTTTCATTTAAAAGTGGTCTGTATCGGAGATTTAATGTATATTTCCTCAAAGGACTATTACGATTTAAGATGAAAACGCATTATTTAATAATGCATAAAGTATATAAACCAAGTGATCTTGTTCTTTTTCTTTCTTTTTTTTTTAAATCAATTAACCATATTAGTCTGAATTATGATATATACTTGAACATTTAAAATCACTTTTATTACGTGCCGTTTATCTCTACAATGTCACACGGAGGATAAAACAAGTGCGTTTCCGGTTTTCCCCACACAGTAACATACTTTTACACTTGACACTACTCTAGCGCCCCCTATTCTACAAAGAATGTGTGTGAAAAATCAAATAATTAATAAAAGAAAAAGGAAGCGATATTGACTATTTCTAAATCCATTTTCAATTTATATTGCACAGGATAATAATAATAATAATAATAATAATAATAATAATAATAATAATAATAATAATGATAATAATAATAATAATAATGATGATGATGATGATGATGTGGCGATAATGATGATGATGATGATGATGATGATGATGATGATGATGGTGGTGGTGGTGGTGGCGGTCATGATGGTGATGGTGGTGGCGGTGGTGATGATGATGATGATGAAAATAATGATGATAAAAAAAACAATAATAACAATAAAAAGTCGCACTGTACAAAACATATTTCTAATATTTTTACTCATTCAATCTCATTCAATCTTATAGATTATGACAAATGTCATTCAAATACATGTTTGTTTGCTTTTTTTAACAACTGAGAATCTTGTTGAAATAGCTAGGCTTGAATTTAAAGGCACATTATGTGTCGCAATAAATGTTCTTTAATATAGTTTAATTTCCTTCTTTGGAAAATTATAACGTTTTAATAATGGTTTTCTAGCATGATGCATGCTTATCACCTGAAGTGAGGATCACTAAATATCAAATGCAATAATTTTATTTTTGTCTCGACGAATACAAATTTGACTTAATTAAATGTTCTATTCTTGAAAATTTAATTATATTAAAAAAAGTTTAAAGGTGGCTTTATTCCAAACTTACTAAATGTTGTTGTTGTTTTTTTCACTTTTAGAAAAATTAAAGAAAACCAAAACTGACTGTACATTTGAAAGCAGACTTGGAGCGACAATAGAAGTAAACCGAAAGTATAATAAAAATAATAGAGCCGATATGGTTACTGTAAGTGTTTAAAATTACTGTATGTCGATGAGTCTTCTCAAACTTTGCAGTTTGCAATATTTAAGAATCCTTGCAAATGGTTTAAGGGTTTACAAGGAGGAATGCAAAGGAGTTTTGTTTCTTTACATACACAAATATCGGCGAACCATTCCGCATTAATAAGAATCTTTAAGAAAAGATATGGAAAAATGCAATTGGCTCGGATCACATTTGTCACACCGGTGTTAGAATGGTATTTGTGTTGTGTGCAACACATGTGATAACAGAACATATGAGCCGCGTCATGACAAAACCAACATAATGGGTTTGCGACCAACATGGATCCAGACCAGCCTGCGCATCCGCGCAGTCTGATCAGGATCCATGCTGTTCGCTATCAGTTTCTCTACTTGTTATAGAGTTTGTAAGCGAACAGCATGGATCCTGATCAGACTGCGCGGATGCGCAGGCTGGTCTGGATCCATGCTGGTCGCAAACCCATTATGTTGGTTTTGTTATGACGCGGCTCATATGTCATAGGTGTGACGAATGCAAAGATGCGACATACGTATTCCGTGCTTATTAAGCTTAACAAGGCCAGTCTTGACATTATTACTGATTGATTATTCGTATTAATCATATAGTTAATGCCGATCAAGAGGATGATTAAACGTAGTAATGAAACTCGTCTTTTTCAGGTTTGTGCCCCTGGTTGGAAAAACGTTTACCCCGAGATAGCCCCTGATAAATACCAGAATTATATGCCTGGTATGTGCTTGAGAATGAGAGATCAACTTACAGTGCAGTCATGTGATCGACCGTAAGCACAATTTTATCCTAAATAGCACGTTAAAACTAACTGACTCTTATGCCTTCAGTTGTCTGTTGCATATTATTTCTTAATCGCAAATTAACATGTATTTATCAATTTAGCATGTAAACATGTATTGCCCGGTCAACAGCATTGTGTTTACAACATACTTTTTCTAAGTTAGATACAGCATTATTATTTAATAACAATAAATAAATAAATAAAATAAATTAAGTAATTAATTAATTAATTGGGGAAAAATTGAAAGTTAGATACAGCATTATTATTTAATTGTAATAATAATAATAAAAATAACGTTAATTAATTAATTAATTAATTAATTAATCAATTAAGGACATTACCAATGAAAATCAGTTTAAGGCTAAACTTAAAACAAACTTGTTTGGACTGTTTTCCAACTAGAGTTGTAGATTGGCTGTGCCATCGAGACTGGGTTTGGGAGTGTATATAGTCTTAATCTTTTAATTATTAAACTTTGAAAATATCTGGTATCATATTTGCTATTAAATTTGGCATTATTTAGTAAATAAATACCTACAATAATTATATAATTAAAATGAAACACTTTTTTCTTCCATTAGGGATCTGCGAGATTAATAAAAATATTAAAAAAGAAAAGAAAGAAAGAAAATATTAAAAAGTTGCTCTTTCTGGGGTTTGAACCCACGCCCCTCATTTCAATACACTTTACAGTGTTTCTAGCTTATTTGAATACTTTTCAAAGTGGAGATATTGCATTAGGGGTGTACTACCTTAAATTTTATCAAGTGAAATGAATTTTTGTCCTTTAGGGTGGTCGTTTTAAACAGAGTATCATTTAAGATATATTCAGTACATTTATATTTATTCTCTACAGGTTCTGCTGGCCGTTTTGGCCAGGCAATAATGAAACATCTTTTAAAGGGAGACCACAATATACCTACGCAGAAGGTGGAATGTCGGCCACATATACCAAGGTATACATATCGCGATTCATGTATGAAACTACAAATTTGTTACATATTATGGCGTTATAATACATTGCTGAGTACAGTACTAAATTCTTTAGGGAAAATAAAAAGCTGCCGAAAACTATATTGGACCGATATAAGTTTTTGAGATGTGTACGATCCAATAAAATCAATATTGTTCTCAACCATGTGTACAACCTATATTTAATGATCATTTTTGACATAAGTTTGTTACTTTTAAATTACTACAAGGATATGATATGGATTTTGGATTCTCCAAAGAATAAAAACGGGGCAAGATAGCGTGTGATTTGATATGAACCTTTTGAACTCTGGAAATTGAAACGATCCTATATAAGGGTCTGATATGGATTTGATATGAATTTCTTACTCTGGAAATGAAAAAGAGGCTTAATTGCAATTAGTGATTTCTGTTGGAAACATCGCTTGGTGCAAATACTGTAAATGCGTTTATTATATTTTACAAGGTGTGAAATTAAACTTTATTACTGTTTTTAGATTTAAACACGATTATACTTAAATAAAAATAAAAATAAATTTGTCGTAGTTTTAAACAAATTGAAATATGCAGACGATGTAAAACATTCTATTTGATATAGTAATAACAGAAAAAAATGGATCTATCTAGTATCTAAATTTATCATAACTTTGAAAGCTTTTTCCTATTACAGGATGGACTCGGGGACATTATTGGTGCTCCCGGGGCTGATGATTGGCGAGGTAAATAAAGATTTATTAAAATTCCTTATTTTAATTAAGTCTAAATAATTATAAAGTTGTTTCTTGTAACAGAAAAAAATGATAAAACTTTCTTACCTTATCTTAACTTTTCTCATTTAGTCATTTAACACCAATTATCTATTAATCGTTTTTATGTGTTTTTCTTGGGGGCGGGGGGTGGTATTTGAATGAAAATCGTTGCAACGCTTTTCATTTTCTGGTCAATTTGCGTAATAAAAATATCCCTTGTAAGCGAGTTTAGCAAATGGTCAGAAATTTCGCGCACGGGTTATTTTTTTAGCCCTCCATACAGTAAAACAAAAGTCTTGATTATATTTGATAATATTTTTGATCCATTTATGTCAAAAATTCTGTGTGGAGTCCCTTAAATGAGATTATTTATCAATTATTAATTCACCATGAACCAGTCTGTAATTTATCATCCAGATTAATCAATTGTTCATAAATCATATTTTCAGGTGCGTTTAAATCGTATCTAAAGGATTGGACGGCCCGGCTGAGTTTTGATTACACTACAAACACGATGTACTTCGGTAGGTAGTACATAATTAAATGAGCCGCGTCATGACAAAACCAACATAATGGGTTTGCGACCAGCATGGATCCAGACCAGACTGCGCATCCGCGCAGTCTGATCAGGATCCATGCTGTTCGCTTACCAACTCTATTACAAGTAGAGAAACTGATAGCGAACAGCATTGATCCTGATCAGACAGCGCGGACGCGCAGGCTGGTCTGGATCCATGCTGGTCGCAAACCCATTATGTTGGTTTTGTCGTGACACGGCCCAAATTATAAGAGCAAGTTTTTAAACTTGTTTGTACGCTTTTAAACTGAAATATCAAAATATTAAGACTATAGAAACACACGTAAGATTGATAGATTTAACACTTGTACAACAGACGTGATAAAAAAATGCCCCTTACTGCAGTATAGTGGTTGGTTCGATTCCGGGCCGGGTCTTCGGATTCCTTCATGAGATGAAGCAAATAACCAATTATTCAGGACTTTTGTATATAATTTAGTGTTTATATACTTTTTTTAGAAATCATATGAATTTCAAGTGATTACTAGTTAACACAATTTTACTATTCCATGCTCATGCCTGGTAAGCAACAGAGCTACACTTTGTCGGAGATGTATGATAAATCGTCCTATCGTAACTTCCGAGTTAGTTCATGATACCAACTCTAAGTGTCAAAAAATTAAAGTGTTGTCATATTTGTTTTTATTTTTTTATTTATCTGCGTTATATACGTTATATACACATTTTTTTAAAACACTAGTGTCAAAGCAACACGCACATGGCTTTATTGGTTATTTCATATTATTCAAACGTATATATATTTGATATAAATAAAACATTTTTACATCAGGATATGCTTTGGCTGTTGGAAAGTTTTGGAAAGGTGAAATGGTTATATCTGGAGCCCCTAACTGGAATGATCCGAAAAGCACGGGACATTTCGGAAAGGTAACAAATCACTTTTCTTTTTGAGTGTATGTAAATTTAGGGATGAAATCCACCTGTGTTATACGGCTGTTTTCTGTTAATTTAGAAATATCGTTTGATTTTATAAAAGTTTAAGATTGGATTTTGTGGCAAAATGTGTACTTAATTGATTATATTTGTTTTAATTATCAGGTTTATCTGTATATTGGAAATGACCTAGAATATCAGCTAGATTTTGGCATCCCAGCAACTGTAAGTGTTTTTAATGCTTCAAGATAAGACGGAATTGCATTTGATATATACTGGTGTGTATTTAGGTGTGTCATTTGACTCACGCATGTCTATGAAGTATTAGGTATATATATTTTATAAATAGACAGCGCTCAAAGTCACTGATGGCATACCGATGTAATAATTGAAGTTTTCGATATGCAATAGCACAACGAATGTTGTTTAGGGTTATACTGGTTTGAGGCAGTCGTATGTTTGGATGCCTAGCCGTCTGTGTGGCCCCTTGCTTGTGATGACATCTTTTTTGTTTGCATTTTCTTTATCACATTCAGTGATAAAGTTTCAGTTTATCTTTTTTAAAAACAAAGTTCTTGCTATCAAAAATAAACAAATAAATGATTTTATTTATAATGTTTCTACAATCTATCAATCAATATAATGTTTACATTCTGTTTCAAACAAATAGCCATGTCCCGACCAAGATAACCTGGATTTAAGAGAATTAATTGACAAAGAACAAACTGGTACCAAGTTTGGCGCAGCACTCGCTGCTGTTGACGTCACAGGTGACGGATATGACGAACTATTTGTTGGTGCCCCGTTCTACACTGGTGACAATCCGGAAGAGGGACGTGTTTTCGTTTATAGTTCGTCAAGAGTATGTCTATTGTAGAAATAAGTATTTAGCAATGTCATATTGTGGTTAATGTGGCTCAATATTGGACCTTTGTCAACTCACAAAATAGGCCTCAATGGCCGAGGGACAAATTCGCTGGCTTCTAATTACTTTCTACTTTCCCTAACTAGCTGCGTGTTCGATTCCCAGCCTAGGAATTTGAATTGTTGGTGGTTCTACTTAGCAGCAAGCTCTTGAATGTAATGATTCAAAAGGGGCATTACGTTTGTTTTCATGAAATGAAGCTGGAAATACCTATTCAGTGTCAAAACGCTTATTTGAAAAAAAAGACTATTTGAAGCTGAAAAGTCTACGATGTGACTGTAGAGACACCAGTTACATTTGTCCCCTCTTGCGCTAATTGTAGGTCATAAATATTTAAGGGCTATGTATTGCTTTCAAATTCGCTCCTCTAAGTCCAAAGTGCATTCGAGATCACTTCACAGTGTTAACTTTTGTATTGGCTGTTCATTTAGCAAGAAGCTCGAGCACATTATTGTTCTTTCTCATAAGGAATATGTTTTAAGGACTATTATTTCTTTCTCTTTAATCGTCGACCAATTCAACGGACGTGTTCTGCTTTTTCTTGACATTATTTTATTTTTATTATAAGGCAAAAAGAGACTTAAATGTCGATATAATTATTTAACAGTGAACGTGTAACTTGTTCGACAATTTTGTGTTAAACACATGTTAATTTTTCTGGGTTTTTTTCCAGGACACCAGTATCTGTGGTCCAATAGGAATTCTTTCAGGTGGTGTTAAGGTACCTTCATTAAAGGATAAATCTTCTTTTGCTCGGTTTGGTGCAGCCATCGCATCTATGGGTGACCTTGACCTTGACGGTTATAATGGTAACTTAAGATTTTAATTTTTGACAGATTTGTTTTCGATAGTTATTTCTAAACTAAAAAATAACGCTGAAATTCTCTTCAGGTGTTTGGCCTTAATGCCAGATTATATTGTTTGAGTATGAAGGTAAGTACGTACATGTATTTAGGTTGTGTGTAGGTAGGGAGGTAGGTAGGGTGGTAGGTTGGTGAAAGGGTGGGTGGGTAGGTATTGGATCGGTTGGTCGGTTGTAAGTGCATGTGGCTTTATGGTGGGGAGGTAGGTACGAAGCTAGGTTAGGCTATAGTTAGGAGCATATAAATGCTAGAAATAAGGTAAATAGGTTTGTTTACTTAAAAATTGCTCTGTTTTGAATTCAGAGACACCAATGTTTAATCTTAGTGAATTATATGTCAAAATATTATGAATTTGCTGCCAAAAGTCATACAAAATTTCATTTAAAATGATCGCTATAAAAACTATTAAAGTTTTTATCACCTTTTAGATACAAGAAAATCATGCTTTAATGAGGGAATGGTTCACAATTTCAAAACCTGTGAGACAAAAAAAAATGTATCATTTAATATTTATAATAATACTCAGTACCTACATGTATATGCACGTAATGACCTTTATTTTACAGATGTAGCAATCGGAGCACCCTACGAAGATGATGGAGCAGGTGCCATATATATCTACCCAGGCATTGGAGAGTGTAAATGCGAAATGAATGACCATTTCACCCAAAGGATAGCTGGTAAATAACATGAACACTCTTCAATCTAAAAATACTGTTGCACATTTTCTTATATCAATTATTCCTGATGCCATCATTTATACATGTATCACAGACTTACGAATTTATTCATTTATTCCTGATATCAAATAAAAAATAATAATTCAATGATATCAAATGACGTGCATTTTGTAATATACAAAGAAAACTCTTTCTTTATGCGGATTGTTAAACTATTTTATTATAGCTAAAATCAGTATTCGTTCATAATTGCAATGTGCTTACCACATATCACGCTTTTAAAGTCACTTCCTGATGTACCACGTGACAATATCACTTGACCGTCATAACATAACAAACAAAATAAAAAAAAAACACTTGTATTGTGATAAATGTCAAGTTGTGCCAGTTAACTGATATTTAAAGATGCATGTCATTCCTTTCTAAGAAAGAAAATGCGTTGTTAAAACAGTGCGGCAATCGGTTTAAATAAATAGTTCACTTCAAGTGGTGTTTTATCTTTAATATCAATGCATTAAGATTTTTAAATACCGTCTTGACCAAACAATACAGTTTCAATTACGGAAGATATATGTCTCCTGCTGACTAATTTTTGATATTTATTTCACTAGGAATTTAATTTCCACAAAGACATAGTGTCAAGTAGAGTTGTTGTTTTATTATAAAGCTTCCGTGAAATCGTGTGGAGTAGTTTTTATAGTTATAAAGTTTCCATAAATTAATCATACATGTCTTGTAAAAGAATAAATAAAAAAATATCTTATTTATGAAGAGTGGGTGTGGTCATATTCATGTACATGTATACCATCCAAGCCACGCACCGACTGCCTGTGGTTTATTGTACCAAACAATAGTTTTATCACTAAATATACTGTGCTCCTCTTAGTTCACGGTACCTAACGCTTTAAAACTGTCATATGCTGTAACATTTAGGTATTGTTTTACTATATGACACAAGGAAACAACAATATATTCAATCCAAATTAGTTTTAATGGGTCAGATGTAGACCATGTGTCGGCCATTTTGAAAACAGTATGTCATCATTTAAATCGCGGTAAATGGTGTTACACTATAGTTTTTTCATGTTTCAGTTAAAATTTCTACAGGGTATACTGCTCAATTTTAAATATCAAAACTATTTTTACTTTGTGACTCAAAATTTATTTTTTCAACAAACAAGAACATTTAGAAAATGATGATTGTTTCCAACATACGCAAAAATTTTATGGACTATTGTAGCTTTTTGCAGAAATTTGTAAAATGTTGTTCTGTTTAACGTAAAAATCTAAAGATTTAAAATATTTTGCATAAAAATTTGTTGTTTAGATGTACGAATAAATTATATCAATTCTGACAAATTTTTACACTAGTCACATTTCCGTGAACTAAGTGATGACACGGAATTAGTGATGTTGAGTATATTTGATAACTTCTCAGATAATTAAGCTATAATGCTGATTTTGTCATACAAACACAAAATTACAGACCAGTACAAGTCATCTATATGCAAAAGTGGGAAGTAAATAGGTCTCAAACATCCAATGCTAAGTGTTAAAAAATGGCTGAAGAAAAAACTATCCATTGTTAAGTGTACAAAAAAGTATTAAAAGATAATTTTACTCGTATCAAGTCACTTCCTGAAAAGTAATGTAAAACAATGAAGGAAACCATCCACAAACCGAAGTACGTTGGGAGATGGCAAAGTATTCAAGTACCACAGTTTATAACCAAGGCTATTTATCGGTTACAATAAGTTAGGCTATTTATCAGTATGGTAACTATAACCTAGGCTTTTTATCAGTATCCGTAATTATAACCTAGGTTATTTATTAGTATCGATAACTATAACCTAGGTTCTTTATCAGTATCGGTAACTATAACCTAGGCGCCAATGAAATAAAGATTGCATGTATTACTTTGAGGAACTAGAATGCTATTCGGTAAAGTACATGTAACTTAACAGGACCGAAAAGCACTCGATATATCTATTTTCCTAAATACTCGTAATAATAATCATAGAATATTTATAAAAATGACTTTTCTGAAAGATTTTGATCTAATAAATCGATTGGTAACACTTTCAAACCAATAAAAAAAAGTTGTCATATGTTTTTATGAGAACTTTGAGTGCTTTCTGGTTTTTCGGTGCTATTCTGTGCTTTCCGGTTTTTCTATGCACACTCGGTAACTGTAACCGAGGCTATTTTTCAGTGTCATAACTGTATGGAACAAGTTGTAAATATTTAAATTATTGCAATACAAACAAAACACGATTAAGCCACATGTTATCGGTGTGGGATCTATAATACGTTAGCCCATTCAAAATGCATGTAAATACAATGTGAGAGTTGTTTGATTTTGCATTGACCTGTACCTTGAATAGGTTTAAGTATATGTATGTAGCATTGAGGGTCCATGGGGGAGGGAGGGGGGTATCTTGGGGGACAGAGCTTGGTCCCGCGTAGATAAGCTGTGGATGAAACTATAATATTCATAAAATCATTGAAAAAAAAGTACCTACTTACATGTTTCAAATGACGTCATCATAACAGCATCAGCTTGAAATTACTGCATCTTGATCCATTCACTACACTTACTTTGATAGGGTTAAAATCGTCAACAAAACACTGCTTGGTTGCAAACGATATAAATCCGTAAAAACACTTTCTGTAGCTAACTTAAAGATCCCACTTGGATTTGACAAACACGCAACACTACAGTACTGCAGTTCTGTATAACTCGTGAATCTTATTAACCTTCAGAATGTATGTAATCACTTCAATCGACACAAAACTCAAAAAAATCAAATACATAATCAATGTAAATCTTAATATTCTTATAAACTTCATTTTTTCTTGTTTTTTATAAAGAAAAAACAACAACAAAAACAATCGTCCGTCCGATAATTAGGCAAATGTCATTGCCTGGCTATATGAAATAGTCATCATTTAATGTTAATTTCAGACTATAAATAACACGGAGGCAATCATTACGTCATTTAAAATGCTACATTTGAAAAGTTTTAGCCAAAAAATTCATGTTTTTTAAAATCTGAACTGTAAGTATTTCTTATTTATGTATTTTGATTATATTTTATGTTTGGCTTTTTACGAGGGGTGTATCTCGCTTACGAAAAATGAACATGTTTTGCATAGATGGCTGTGTAAACTCGCAATTGATACAATTCATGTGTTTTCAATATTGACAATATTGCAATACAATAACAAATAAACCAAAGATTATCGGCGTTGACCAAACCCTAACCTCAGTGTACCACTCCCCCCCCCCCCACACACACACACACACTCTCCAGGACCCTCTATACTACCCTACTATACTTCAATACATTATTGCAATATTAGAATTGTTTGATTTTGTATTGACATGTATGTTGAATGGGTTTAAGTTCCACATTTCTAACTGTGGATTAAAAAACTTTATCGTCGGATGCCCTTAATTCGTCCCTGTCCTAGAGTCGAACCCCTTACTGCGTATGTAAGAAAGTATTAATAAAGAAAACAGTTGTATATTTTTATACACCAAAGTAAATTTAATGTATCTACAAAATTTCTTTATCATAGAACGATTGGATCATAAGGAAGTGTAGTGTATCAAACTAGCGCTGTAAAATGCTTTAGGAACCGAATCATGGCCACCCGAGGATATACTTTAATCATAAAAGCATTGAAACACAAAGGAAAAAAAAGTACCTACTTACATGTCTCTTATGACGTCAGCATTACATCAACAGCTTTGAAATTACCGCATCTGTATCCATTCACTACAATCACTTTGTGAAAGTTAAATCGTCAACAAAATACTGCTAATTAGTTCCAAATGATATAAATCCGTAAAAACACTTTCTGTAGCTAACTAAAAGATCCAACTTGGATTTGACAAACACGCAACACAACTGCAGTACTGTTTAAGTTGTGAATCTTATTAACCTTCAGAATGTATGTAATCACTTCAATCGACACAAAACTCTATAAATTCAAATCCATAATCAATGTAAATCTGAATATTCTTATAAACTTCATTTTCATTTGTTTTTTATAAAGAAAAACAACAACAAAAAACAGTCATCCGTCTGATAATTGGGAAAATGGCATTACCTGGCTATATGAAATAGTCATCATTTAATGTTAATTTCAGACTATAAATAACACGGAGGCAATCATTACGTCATTTAAAATGCTACATTAAAAGAACGAAAGTTTTAGCCAATAATTCCATATAATTTTAAAATCTGAACTGTAAGTATTTCTTACGTATTATGTATTTTGATTATTTTTATGTTTTTGGCTATTTACTAGGGGTGTACAGATAGGAATGCAATTAGTCCATTATCTCGCTTTTAACCACGTTTTGCACGGAACATGTTTTGTATGACAATTGATACAATACATGTGTAAATCAGTTGAGTCTAGCTTTGACAATAGCTCGATTAACGTTATCTACCCGTGTATACTAAAGCAAAAAACGTTTCTTTTCACTGACATAAACGTCCTATATTAAGAAATGCTATATTCTTGTTATAAAGGCGAAAGACATATTTAATGAAATATGTCGTGTTTATGGGGGCAATAAACTTGGTTTTTCATCTGTCACACGGTGGTGTAAGAAATTTAAAAGTGGTGTGGATAAAAGATGCACCTCATGCACACCGTCCGAAAACTGCAACTTTGCCAAAGATGGTTGAACAGGTAAAGGATTTGATTGCTACTGATTAGGTCTATAGCTAAATGCGTTGGCATCTCTGTAGGAGCCGTCTCATACAATTTTCAGACGTCAATTAAAAATAAAAAGGATAAATGCCAGATGGATACCCCATCTCCTTACAAAAGAGCAAAAAACTTGCTCGAAATAATTGTTTCAACAGTTCCCTAAATACAACACTCGATCTTTCGCATATATCATCACTGGCGATGAGACGTTGGCCCAAGTGAAAGATACATTACAAAATATGGGCAACCAAATAAAGTCAAGGACCTTGTCTAGCAAAACGCACCACGGGCGTCAAAAAGGCCATGTTTATAATTTTCTTTACCAATCAAGGTCCTGCTATTCAAATTGCCGTACCAAAGGTTAAGTCTGTAAATGCCAAGTTTTACAAAGGCAAGGTCCTTTATAGATTGAAGAAATATTTCCAAAACCGTCGACCAGCAACTTGTCTCCGTGGTCTCAGGTTCCTCACCCTCCTTATTCGCCAGATCTTGTCCCTTGTGACTTATTCCTATATCCGAGGCTCAAAAAAACCTCCTTACTAGAAGAAAATATCAAACGCGAAAAAATCTCGGTTCGGCTTTTTCCAGTGTCTGGACAATATACATCGGAAAAGATTTTTAAAAAAAACGCATTTAAAAAGAAATGGATTAAAAGACTAAAACTTTTTTTATATCACATGGTAGTGAGTTTTTAATTATTTTGGCACTGTTTGTTAAGCACTACTGAAAATTGACCCACTTGCATTCCTATTTGAACACCCCTTGTACTGTTATTTTAAAAAAATAATTGCTGTATATATACTATATGATTGTATCATATATATTGCACTGTGCGAATTATTTTATTCAATTTGATTAACAGGTCGTGATCTTGACATTGGTTTACGATCATTTGGCTGGAGCATGTACGGTGATGAAGACATTGATGACAATTCTTTCCCAGGTATCTTTAAACTATGTAATATTATACTGTCTAGGAATTGTATTTTGTACTGTTTTGATACCACAAAATTCCTCATCATTTGTGGCTGTGATGTTGTTTGTGCTTTTATTTATACCTACCGCCGGGACAGGTTTATTTAATCTGTTTTGAACAAGAAAAAACATATTTCAACATAAATTATAAAAGACGTCTATAATGATACAAGCTGAAATATGATTTTTTCTTCTTTCAAAACAGCTTTAAATGAAGTTTTATTGATACATATGACAAAGAATATGTCCTGTGATTGACAAATATACAATTTTTTTTTACCTCCACACCCAAAGTGTCTATGTTGAGGGCAGACTCATGGTACATTTTCAGTGGCGTCGCTCGGCCTAGATTTCTGTGTACATCGACTTTTAGCTATAGGTGTGATTAGGGCATGTTTTTTTCTACGCTTTGGGTTGTGAGAGGTACGCTTTTTACTATGTTTAATACAATTACTATGTTATGGGGATAATATTAGGAATTGTTGTAAGACATTTGTTTTCACCTTCTAGGTAAAAAATGTATACTGTAGTCTGCTTGGCCTTTATTAAGCTATGTTACTATTTTAAATTTTTTTTTTGATTTTTTTTTTTGTAATTTTAAAAATAAATAGAATGCAAAGATATTTAAGAAAAAGAAACCCCTTAATGGAAGGTTACATCTATAACAGTATACCCTTATTTTTGTCAACAGATTTCGTTGTTGGAGCGTACGAGTCAGACACTGCGTTAGTGTTTAGAGGGAGGCCAATAGTCAATGTTTTCGTTGAAATTGAAATGACTCCAAATCCAATACCTTTAAACGGTTCCCTCTTAGCCTGTTCCGCTGATAAAGAAACTCTCTGCTTCACTGTAATAGCCAAGTTCCGCTTTGAATCGGTCGGGAGTAGGAAAGGAAAAGTGGACAATGTCTGTAAGTTCATGAAGCATGATATAAGCAGTGTCTACATGTCTATTCTAGGATTCGAAAACCAGGGGGGATTTTTATCTAAGTGAGAATTTGTTACATTTGTTAATGTTTTTCCTTTCTCTATGTAAAATTTGCCCCTGCCTCTGAAAAAATAGGGGGGGGGGGTTCAAAAATATGAGTGTATGCCCACATCCCCTCTCCTAGAATAGACACTGATATAAGTTTTATGTTAAAAAATTGAAGGTGTGAAATTCAATAAATAATTACGCTAATAGTTTCAAGTATCACACATAACAACATACCACGGAAACATTTAACATATATGCTGTTGGTAAGTGTGAATTCCGAAATTAAACATATGAGCCACGATACGACAAAACCATCATAGTGCGTTTGCGATCAGCATGGATCCAGACCAGCCTGCGCATCCGCGCAGTCTGATCAGGATCCATGCTGTTCGCTATCAGTTTCTCTACTTGTAATAGAGTTGGTAAGCGAACAGCATGGATCCTGATCAGACTTCACGGATCCATGCTGGTCGCAAACGCACTATGTTGGTTTTGTCGTGACGCGGCTCATATGTATCTAGCAGATGATAAAGTGTTCTAGAACAAAATTATACTATTCATCATAAAATTGATCATACTAATTCACTTAGAGCGTTATCAACATTTTTTATTTCAAGCAATATGTTATAAAAATATTAAATTGATACATTTCTATAGTATTTTATGAAAAATTGAAATAATTTTGGAAACTGTGACAATAATTGTAGACCAATTAACTTTAACTACATTTAGTGAAAATAATTGCATTATTGTCCATGTATAAACCTTTTTTTTTGCACAGTTGATATATAAATGAACAATCCCTATCTATCTGCCTTAATATATATATATTAAATCAATTAATGTTTATATTATTATTATTATTACTACTACTACTATTATTATTATTTGGTTGTTTCTACGTTGCATTAACACAGCTTAGGTCATACGGCGACTTTCCAGCTTTCCTGGTCGAAAAACGACCTACGTTGTTCCTCCGCACGAACTGGAACCTGAGTAGAACCACCGACGTTTCGTAAGCTAGCTGGATAGCTTTCTCACATGAAAGAATCCAAAGTTCCTGGCGGGGTTCGAACCCACAGCAGTGAGGGGCAGATGGTTTGAAGTCCTTGACTTTAACCACACAGCCACCCATGTTAGGGAGATAAAACAGATATCAGTTATAGAGTCAACCTTGATCGTCTCACCAGCATCAATATAGGAATCCTTTTTTTAAAAACTGGAAACAAACATAAAAAAACATTTTATTTATTTATTTATTTACTTATTTATTTATTTATTCATTAATTCATTTATTCATTCACTTTTTATTATTTATTCATTTATATATATATTTATTTACACAGACCTTAAATGGACACTGGATTCTGACACTTTACATAAGAGCAAAGAAGGATGGAGTAGAGTTTCATTTAGATATTTTGATAAACAGGACATTATTACAGAGAATATTACACTCTCTGGACCCAGTGTACACAATAAAACGTATATAATGGACGTGAAGGTAATGTCTTTATTTACTATATAGATATAATTGTTTCCTATATGAGACGATTGCTTTATAATCGCTTACTATATATTTTGTTTTATCACCTTAATCATTGATTTTTATCAGGGGAGAGAACTAGAACATTACGTTTTCTTAAGTCTAAACAGATTACTCGCCCTTCGGGAATATGATGTCACATTAGGCTGTATATTAATTAAAACATTTACGTGTGGTATAATTAAATGAGATAAGAAAATCACCTAGCATTTTATTACCCGAAATTATGTTGTATAACTTTATTTAAACAAATGAACACCACTCAAGAATAAAAAAATAAAAACATAAAATTTGATATTCTTTCATTGATTAAATAAATCAAGAATAATAAAGATATATATCCAGAATTAAAAGGACTATTTTTCTGTGAATTTTTGGTTCGATTTGTATGGTGGTTAATTTATGCCATGGCACCCTTATTTGAAAACACAAAAATACGACGAAGTGATCACTCTGTCGTATTTTCGTGCTTTCGTGATTTCGCCTGGCGCTCCGCGGAACCAAAGTACGACAAAGTGCTCACTTTGTTGTATTTTCGTGCTTTCTTTGGGCGGCTGGCGGTGCAAAATTCTACATGACACAAATCAGGCACCATGGATTTAAGTAAAACAATCTTTGGACGCTTTTCAGAGGTATAGAGGAAAACCAGAACCGAAGGATGCCTGGACGAATGTTCGTATGGAAGGACGTTTTGAGCTTATACCTTCTAGTGAAGACAATTTTGATGTTCTTGATCCGATCCTTTCAAAAGACGTTAACACGCTAATCTTGGAAGATGTAAATGTTTACATTGTTACTTTATTATACATGTACCTTAATCGTTAAGAATCAAAAGAATCGATATTTGATAGAAAAGTGACTTTTAAAAATGTAGCTTTCATTTTATTTACATCATGTAACTTTTTAAAATGCATATTTTGTTTCTTTGTACCGTAGTCATAGCAAAAATGACAGGTTTACTATTTTATCTTTTTAATTTTGTTTCGTTTTACATCCGGTCGACACTGTAAGGTTATATGACGGCAACTTTGCAGCTTTACCGATGGCGGAATATCTCATGTGACCCTCCGTGCATTATTTCAAACTCCTCGCAGCGGTTACTTCCCCTGATCTGTACAGTAACCACTGCCACCACAAGTAAATTCGGTCGAATATAGCCGGATATATTTTTTTCACTTTTAATTTTAAAATAGAATACTTTATATCATTTTAGTTTTCTTTCGTTAAATAGTTATGCTTAATGTACAAGAAAGTAAAAAAAATATTCGTATAAAAATTATTTTGTAAACATAACGTAAGATATTTTCACTGTGACACCGTTTGCATAGTAAACAATGGCAGAATATAAACAGTTATTGAATGATTGCACAAAAAGATTTGATCCGGCACTTGTTTTAAAGTGATAACAAATTGTGTGTCTTGAACTTATTTTGTCTGGTAAGGATGTAATTATAAATCTGCCAGTTTGATATGGGATCCCTGACGTTCTGAAACTGGCCGCCATGTTTTTGTCACATGATACAACTATCATCACGTGATTTCAGTTGGTGGCAGTGGTTAAAGTAGCAAAGCGTCACGTAACCGCTGTGAGGAGTTTGGCATTATTTCAGACACGAACGGGTACTTGAGTAGAACCACAGACGTTCCGTTTTCATTACATAAAGAATCCAAAGTTCCTTGCTAGATTCGAACCCACAGCGTTGGCAAGGGGTTTGAATTCAACGACCGTAACCACTTTGCCTTGGACGCCCCCAGAATGTTTACTAAAATATTACCATTTATACCGAAAGTTAAGATGTTGTATATTTTAAAGTATATTCGGATCCATTTGTTAATTTACATTATCTGTGGGTATGATTATCAAGTCACTGAAAAGTCAAAGGAACATTCATTATTTTAAGTTTCTTTAAAAAAAATCCATCGCTTGGTTAATTCAAGTATAATGATCCCCAATAATTTGCGATTCAAATGTTTCTCAATGGTGTCAACGTTGTTAATTTTTTTAAAGTTGACGCGTTTCCTTTTCATATATGTATAAATCTTTATTTTATTTACAGTAAATTTTATCTAATGTTTTTTAAAGACTAAATTTGACAAGAAATGTGATAATATCAACACGTGTACATCCGACCTTAGACTTCAAGTAGATATGTTTCTGCTTAGGGATGGCGTTAAACCTACACATGTCCGTAATGATACTGTTTTGTACGTTGATGCTGCTAACATGTTACAGGTGAGACTTTACTTCTCGTCTTATATGAAGTTTGGTCTTATATATAAATTGTGAGCGATTGTGGTCTTATACACGCATTGTGAGATACTGTGGTTTTACATATTGTGATAGATGGTTGCTCTATATATGCATTGTGAGAAGTTATGGTTCAATATAATTCTATGCATTGTTGAAAATTGTTGTCATTCATATGCATTATAAGAAATACTTGTCCTACATATGCATTGTGAGAGATTGTGGTCTTATATATACATTGTGAGAAATTGTTGTACTATATATACATTATGAGAGATTGTGGTCCTATATAAGCATTGTTACAGATTGTGGTCCTACATTATGGTCCTATATATATATATATACATTGTGAGAAATTGTTGTCCTATATAAGCATTGTTACAGCTTGTGGTCCTACTTTATGGTCATATATAATTATACATTGTGAGAAATTATGGTCCTATATAACCATTGTTACAGATTATGGTCCTACATTTTGGTCCTATATATACATTATGAGAGATTGTGGTCCTATATAAGCATTGTTACAGATTGTGGTCCTACATTATGGTCCTATATATACATTATGAGAGATTGTGGTCCTATATAAGCATTGTTACAGATTGTGGTCCTACATTATGGTCCTATATATACATTGTGATGGATTGTGGTCCTAATATAATACTATTTATTGTGAGAGATTTTATTCCTGAAATTACATTTTTTTATCTCTTTTGCTTTTATTTAACTATCCAGCACTGAGAAAAGTGAAAAAGCGTTGTCCCCGATCTTGTTTACTTACACTTTAGTCCATTTATAATCAAAGTCACATTGTATCACCATTCTTATATTTGTATATTTTTAAGTTCGAAAAAGTTTTTTCCCTAATGGTATATCAATGGTAAACTACGAACATCAATTGCAGGTAACGGCCGACGTACTGAATCTTTTTAATTCATCATACAGAGCTAACGTTAGTGGGGAAGTCTCGACGTTGATGAAAAGAGATGCCTCGTATGTATAAGAAATAGATTTTTTTTATATTGAAATACTACTAGTTCTATAGACAAATAAATTGATATTTATCAAACCACTAAGACTGCTACATACATGTATTAGCTTTCAGTCAACACACAATTTAATAGGTGGCCTGCGGTTAAGTCATTTGAAAATCATTTACCGAAACTGTATTACCGAGCCATTCCCACATATTACACATTATATGTTCATAATGATATCTTCACATTTTAATGTTTTCTGTACAGCCCGAATAATGGCCTTATTGGTGCAAGTTGCAAGTACGAATCTCCTCATCAAACCAGCACGATTGTCAACTGTACCGCAGACAGTAAGCTGGATAGAAATGAAAACATGAAGATCAAAATGTACTACGATATTAGTAGGCAACGCCTGATTCCTGGGATGGACCTGAATAAAATGAAGGAAAGCATACATGTAAGTTTTTATTTGCCTTCATATTATCTAATTGTGGCCCTAAAGCTGGTTGAACCGAAACTTGTTAGCCTTTGCCATCCTAATACTTGTGGAACCGGACGTTGGTTTGCCTTTGGCACGTCCTTAAACTGGTAAACATAAAGTGGTATACCTTTGTCACATCCTTAAACTAGTAGAACCGACAGTGCTTAGCCGTTGCCACATCCGTGCATTTTTATCAGGCTCTATATTGCTGGCTAATATATAAATATGAATTTTCTTTAGATATCCCTTAGAATTGATAATGGACTGTTCCAAACAATATGTGCAAGTCCATTTAAGAAATTCAACAGGTCAAGCATTACAACAACGGTGTGCGAGTGGCCACGGGATTCTATCTGATAATGCATGTTGTTTTTTTCCGTTAATGTTTTCCTGCGTGCACAAGATTTACAACAATTGTGATTTTATTTTAGTTCGGTTTTACGTCGCACCAGGTGTTCTGATAGAGGTAGACCGTAGGTACTCCTCCTAGCATTATTTCAGACACAAAATGACACCTGAGGAAAACAATCGGCGTTCCGTAACTAAGCTCGCTGGATAGCTTCCTCATATGAAAGAATATATAAAGTCCCTTAAGGGATTCGAACCCACAGCGGTAAGGGGCAAGTGATGTTGAATTAACGACCTCAAAATCTCGGCCATGGATGCCCAACGAATTTCAGTAAGAATATTAAGAATACCGAGCACAAAGGACAACATACTGTATATGTTACAATAGCTCAGTACATGCTGTTTACCATCGAATTGTTTCCGAAGTGATAGGATACCTTTTGCTTCAAGCTCTACATTTATTTAACTTTTTTTATCAATTCTAAGATTATATTTCATATATGTCTACGAAGAATTGAGCGCCATGCGAACACACATAAAAATACGACAATTAACCACTTGTTTTTTGCTTCAGATTTCTATGCGTGCTGACCAGGCTAATTCAGACGTTGACACTAGCAACAACGACTTCAAAAGAACCATTGCTGTGAAGCTGAAATATTCAGTACATATACAGGCAGAGTATGTTTTTACTAGTATGTACAAAATAGTCCCATCGAAAGCCACAAAGCCACGTGCACGTGTGCTTTATCGTATAAGTTTGTGTTTCCGTTTGTTTGTTGTTGTTTTTTGTTATTTTCCTTTTCGCCGATTTAAACAGATTTTAATTTCTTGTTACATCTCGTCTTTCAACATTACATGATTTGCTGGATAACTGACCAGTAATTAACTAATTTCTCCAATTTTTCCGACTACTTATTAAACATGATTCCTAAATCAGCGGCTAGAGACAAATGATCACTAGTCTCAATTTCGAGATCCCCCAACCTACCCCCGAGAATCGAACCAGCGTCCCTGGATTATGAAGTTAATCGGGTGTTTACTATCATTTTGGGAATCGGATATACTTTTATTTTGTATCTTTCGATTAATTGATCTTTGAAAATTATTTTTAAACACTTAATTATTAAATGCATTGATTCATATTTCTAAAGTTTAAATACGCAGGGAATTTTAAATGTTGATTCCTCAGATTTGAAAAATAAAAGTAACAAGAGCTGTCACGCAAGTGACGAATGCCGCCAAAAATGTTTCTTAAACATGCAGGTATTATGAAAAGAATAGAGAATGAAAGTATCCAATTGCTGAATATTGTTCTTTGTATTATTGTATCTGTAATCTCTAGTTGTGATAGCATGATATCTTCAAAATATAAGTGTGACCTTGACCTTTGAAGAAGGGACACGGTTCCTTGACGCAACAAAATGTTGTTATGAGATAGACATGTGTGCCAAAAAATTATTTCAAAATCCCGCAATGTTTGACAAAGTTATAGTCCGGACATGATTGTTGTGTAAGTGGAAACACACACAGAGACGGACATTAGCCTTAGCCGCGACACATTGTCTTGATGTGGTAGACATTTGTGCCAAGTTATTTTTAAATTCCTTCAATGCATGACGAAGTTACAGTCCGGACATGAATGTGTATCTTCAAACTCTTCTCGAGAGAATGAGTACCTTCAAACTATAAGTGTGACCTTGACCTTGAAAGTAAGGACATGGCTCTTTGTCGCGACACATCATCTTAATGTGGTAGACATTAATGCCTAGTTTTTTTAAAATCCTGCGATGCATGACAAAGTTACAGCCCGGAAACGAATGTGTGTACCTATAAACTCTAATTGTGATAATGAGAACTTCAAAATGGTAGTGTGACATTGACCTTTGATGTAGGGACATGATTATTAGACGCGACACATCGTCTTGATGTTGGAAATATTTATGCCAAGTTATTTTAAAATAATTCAATGCATGAGAAAGTTACAGCCCGGACACGATTGTGTGTACCTATTAATTCTAATTGTGATAATGTGAAACATCAAAATGTTAGTGTAACCTTGACCTTTGAGGTAGAGACTTAGTTCTTAGACGAGACACATCGTCTTGTTGTGGTAGACATTTATGCCTAATTATTTTTAAATAATTCAATGCATGACAAAGTTACAGTCCGGACACGAATGTGTGTACCTATTTTCGCTACTTTCGATAATGTGCAACTTCAAAATGATAGTGTGATCTTGACCTATGAGGTAGAGACGTAATTCTTGGACGCGACACATCATCTTGATGTGGTATACGTAGACATTTATGCCTAGTCATTTTAAAATCATTCAATGCATGACGAAGTTACAGTCCGGACACGAATGTGTGAACCTATTTTCTCTTATTATGATAATGTGAAACTTCAAAATGATAGTGTGACCTTGACCTTTGAGGTAAAGACGTAATTCTTGGACGCGACACAGTGTCTTTATGTGGTAGACATTTATGCCTAGTTGTTTTAAAATCATTTAATGCATGACAAAGTTACAGTCCGAACACGAAAGTGTGTATTCAATTTTCACTAATTGCGATAATGTGAAACTTCAGAATGATAGTGTGACCTTGACCTTTGAGGTAGGGACGTGGTTCTTGGACGCGACATATTGTCTTTATGTGGTAGACATTTGTGCCAAGTTATTTTTAAATCCCTTAATATATGATAAAGTTACAGTCCGGACACGAATTAATTTGGGACGCACAGACGAACGTTCTCACAGGACAGTAATTACGTGGCTACTCTATTGTTCTCTCTATTGTTCTTTTTAGCCATACAAAAGAAAATAGCCACATAAAAGCATTACGGAATGAATGACATCAAAGAGAAAGAACAGTTACCTATTGTCCCTCTAGCCACATAATTACTGTCCTGTGAGTGCGGATGGACAGACGGACGGACAGACGTTGCGATTATAGTATGCCTCTCTTCGGGGGTATGAAATAATGAAATGAAAGACCTTGATCCATGATATAGAGAATACCATGGTAGTGTTTGTTATTACAAAATTTATCAGGCAAGACTTGGAAAAAAGAAAGACGAGGCTCTGCCGAGTCCTTCATTTTCTTTCGTGCCGAACCTGATAAAATTTATTATCAGACACTTGTTTGGTATTCTATTTATCATAATTCCAATTTTGATATATTCTTTTCTTTCTTTAAATTTCAAATGAAACAAAAACCTGTCAAAAACCTCATGTCGCTTAATAATATGTCTAGGTCATACCAATAAGAAATATCCCCGAGTGTTTTAGTCAAATGTAAGAGAGAGACTTAAATATTTGAAAATGTTATTATCAGGCGTGCATTTTATCAACATAAATCAATGTAATGTCATGATAAAAATGATGGTGTTCTATTTTTTTTTTAAGCAAAGAAACGTCCGATCAACTTAGATACAAAGCTGACGAAAAGAGCACAAATATGCTTCGATTGATTCATAGATACATCATTACGAACGAAGGACCAAGTTTTCTACCGAAGACATATGTTAACATAACAATACCACTGTCCAATGAAGATGCAGAATTTGCCAGAATTGTGGTAAGATCTTATTGGTTCTCTGTTTCGAAGGACGGTCAAAATAGTGGTTAGTTTTCTTCTTCAAAGTCTGTTTAGTGTTTATCTTTTATCAAAAAGACATATGGGCCATAATCATGGCTGTAAGGAAATATTGTCATACATTTATACTTCATTAATTTGCTGATTTATACTTCATTAATTTGCTGAATAAGGTATAATGGGAACAATGGAACGATTTTCAAACAATGGGACATTTTTGTGTCGCCTTGTCGACATATGGGGGTTACTTTTGTCGGCGGTGTCGGCGTCGTTGTCGTTGTCGGCGTCGTTGTCGGCGTCGGTGTCGTCGTCCCCTAAGTCTTGTCCGGAGCATTAGTCAGTCATTATAAGTCGGATTGACTTCAAACTTGATATGCATGCTTCTTATAATAACCCGAAGTGCAGTGCACAAGAACCGGTACTCTGCACTGCTTATTTTTTGAGTTATTGCCCTTTGTTAATTTTCATACTTAATTTTTGTCCGGGCCATTTCTCCTAAAGTATAAAAGCTATGGACTTGAAACTCCATAGGATGATAGATCTCATTAAGAAGAAGTGCAGTGTACAAGAACTGGTACTCTGCATTTCTTATTTTTTGAGTTTTTGCCTTTTGTTAATTTTCATACTTTATTTTTGTCCGGGCCATTTCTCCTAAAGTATAAAAGCTATGGACATGAAACTTCATATGATGATAGATCTCATTAAGAAAAAGTGCAGTGCTCAAGAACTGGTACTCTGCATTTCTTATTTTTTGAGTTATTGCCCTTTGTTAATTTTCATACTTTATTTTTGTCCGGGCCATTTCTCCTAAAGTATAAAAGCTATGGACTTGAAATTCCATAGGATGATAGATCTCATTAAGAAGAAGTGCAGTGTACAAGAACTGTACTCTGCATTTCTTATTTTTTGAGTTTTTGCCTTTTGTTAATTTTCATACTTTATTTTGTCCGAGCCATTTCTCCTAAAAGTATAAAAGCTATGGACATGAAACTTCATATGATGATAGATCTCATTAAGAAAAAGTGCAGTGTACAAGAACTGGTACTCTGCATTTCTTATTTTTTGAGTTATTGCCCTTTGTTAATTTTCATACTTTATTTTTGTCCGGGCCATTTCTCCTAAAGTATAAAAGCTATGGACTTGAAATTCCATAGGATGATAGATCTCATTAAGAAGAAGTGCAGTGTACAAGAACTGGTACTCTGCATTTCTTATTTTTTGAGTTTTTGCCTTTTGTTAATTTTCATACTTTATTTTTGTCCGAGCTATTTCTCCTAAAGTATAAAAGCTATGGACATGAAACTTCATATGATGATAGATCTCATTAAGAAGAAGTGCAGTGTACAAGAACTGGTACTCTGCATTTCTTATTTTTTGAGTTATTGCCCTTTGTTAATTTTCATACTTTATTTTTGTCCGGGCCATTTCTCCTAAAGTATAAAAGCTATGGACTTGAAACTTCATAGGATGATAGATCTCATTAAGAAGAAGTGCAGTGCACATGAACTGTTACTCTGCATTTCTTATTTTTTGAGTTATTGCCCTTTGTTGATTTTCAAATTTCATTTTTGTCCTTGCCATTTCTCCTAAACTATATTGTTCACAAGACGACACATTCGACTCGAGGAGTTCTAGTTTAATCTTTGTTCGTGCATTTTCCTTCTTTGGTAAAAATATCTATCACAAACCCAAGTCGTTTTTTTGCGACTCCGTAAAATTTGTATGGCAGGATCGTGTTTATATTTTGACGTAACGTCATTTGCGTTACACAAACGCGTTTAATTTTAAATTAACGGTTAAACTTAAATCGTGATAGTGAAAAATAAATCTTTTTTACCATAAAGAGTTCTTATTTTATTTATTTAATAAATAGAATATTGTATTTGTGAACGTTCATTACTTAATTTATTGAACTAGTAAAAAAGAAAACAATTTGCTCGCCAGATTCTCGCTTAAAAAATGTTGTTCAACTTATCAATAAAGTCAATAAGTAGCCTATTTTTTAAAACTGCCTTATATTCGTTCTGTTTGGGATATGTTATCATACTTGCTTATAAAGTTTCATAAAAACGACAAAATATTTTTTAATAGAACTATGACATCGGACTTACTCAAAATATAAGATATTTTAAGAAAGTCATAAGTTTGCTTTTTTCATCACCAGGAATTGCCAACCAAATGTGTTTATCGTGGACAATTATTTGATACAACTACACCAGCATCAACCACGGTGAAAACAACAAAACACTCACTTCCTCCGGACACAGAACCAGGTATATAGCCATAACTAATTATTATATAACCTCAAATCTGACATATAACCATGAGCAATTATTATCTTACTCAAAATCTTGTATATAACCATGAGCAATTATTATTTAACTGAAAATCTGGTATATAACCATGAGCAGTTATTATCTTACTCAAAATCGGGTAAATAGCCATGAGCAATTATTATCTTACTCAAAATAGGTTATACATGTATAAACATGAGAAATTATTAACATACTCGATTTTAAGTATAAAATCATGAGTAATTATTATGATATTATGGCACTTTATCGGGTATATAACAATGATTAATTATTATATAGCACTAATCTTGCTATATATGTATGATTACTTATTAAACAATGTATAATTCAAAACTGGGTATATAACCATAAGAAATTATGATATGTCACTACACCTGGTTTTACATATACATGTAGCGCTATGATTAAATAGTATGTGACTCTTTAGTTGGTAATAGATATAATTGATTTTTATGAACCATTGTATATCATTATTGTCTCCACTTATCATCATCAACAACAACATATATTCAGCATAAAGCAATATCTAACAGCACTTCCAGGCTACATTTTAACATCTAGTTATTAAGTATACGCAGCAGACAATCTTTGAGCCGCGTCACGACAAATCCAACATAATGGGTTTGCGGCCATCATTGATCAAGACCAGCCTGCGCATCCGCGCAGTCTGATCAGGATCCATGCTGTTCGCTATCAGTTTCTTTACTTGTTATAGGGTCTGTAAGCGAACAGCATGGATCCTGATCAGACTGTGCGGATGCGCAGGCTGGTCTGGATCCATGCTGGTCGCAAACGCACTATGTTGGTTTTGTCGTGACGCGGCTCATATGTTTTTAAGTATATACTTTGAAACTGTTGCGCCTGCAGATGTTTTGAAGATCCTGGTCATTTTGACAATTTAATATTAATGATTTACAATCTGAGAATTTTAACGAGCTTTAGAATAGATAGACCTATACAAATGTATTGATATCTCAAATATTTCTCTGATTTCAGAAAGGAGACGAAGAGAAGCGGAACGAGCGGCACAAAGTGCGAAAAGTACTGGAGAGAAACCCGAACCGACATCCAAAGCTAAGAATATAGTAAGCGCTGGTCATTTTTTTATCAACAATCAATATTTCATTTTAAAGTGAAAACATTAAAGCTGCACACGGGATGAGTGGAAATCAAGGAAATCAAATTTGAGAGAAATTTACTAAAATTTTAGGAGAAAAGAAATAAAAGAAGATTCACGTAATAATTCACGTAATATGTGCCATTTAAGACTTATTTTGCAGTATTTATCCCATTATTTTACAGTGTGGCTAAGGCAGTAATGGCTTTTTTTTATATTTTCAACTCTTTTTGATTTTACATGGACTGTAAGTGTCAATTGCAATGTGTAAAATACTTCCTTTGTTCATTTCATATTTTACTTTTTAATACATTTTCAAGATTTTAATGAAAATTAGCTAGAATGTTGAGGGTGCTGCTTTAAAATGTTATGTAGCTGTTCTTTAGAGATGCCAAATGCGATACAAACGTTAACAACGCTTATACAGTCCAACCCCGATTATTCAAATTGCTGAGGACTGATAATTTACTACGAATAATCGATAGGTTCGAATAATCGAAATCCGAATATTGTGATAGACAAAAACTACTCCAATTAGGCCAATTATAGCAAAACTAGTACTTACAACAGATTGTTTCCAGCAATTAATCGAGAAAAATAAAGAATGCTGATTTGCAAAGAAGTAACCTTATTTTGGGGTGAAATAGACGAATTTTAAAACAAATACAAAAACTAATTGGATCAAAATAAGGATCAATTTTAGGATTAAGATCAATGTTTGGATCAACTGTAAAATGCCCAGTTATTGTACAATCACAATAGATTTATTCTTAAACTGTCCAACTTTACCAAGTGTATATTAAATATAATATATATATGAAAACGCAAATATTTGAGCTTCTAAATTTGATCCTGATCTTGGCCCTGATCCTTTAAAGAATAATATGCCTAAGAACATAAAAGAAACAATTAAATTTCTACTTCTTTAGAGAAAGGCAAATTTTAGTAGTACATGTATACCGTATATATAATGGTTTTAGAGCAGTTTAGATGTTTGTTATCTGAGGAAAGTAGATCTTATTATGAAATTATTTTTCATGAAAGGGGCAAAATGTAAACAGAAGAGTATTTTGACGTTCATGCAAAAAACTCATTCACTATAACTGTACTAAATCCTAAAAAAGCAACAGAAGAAACCGATGGTTCAGATAATTTGCTGACGAGCAACATCTTCTTGAAATCATAGAAGTACAACAAAAATATAAAAGCTATTGAGAAATGAAAAGATCATGTATGTTTAAATTCAGGTTTTT